AAAAATTTGGGGTTAGGCATAGAGTCAGAGAGTGGTTGGAATGTACTAACTCTGCCATACTGACTGCGGGGGGGGGGTGTTTCTCCCCAAAATGAAATGCAATATGAAGAGCGTTATTTATATATTGCATTTCATTTTGGGGAGAAACTCCCAGCAGTCAGTCTGGCAGAGTTAGTACATTCCGACGACTCTTTCACTCTATGCCTAACCTAGCCAAAATAAATTCATTTTGACTGAAGAAGTTACTTGGATGAGTAACGAACCATCTCAGCTTAATAAACTTTTATCCAGTTGCTATGATTTAACCTTTTTAGATATTCTTCATCTTTTTTCCTGAGAAAGTTACACAAACTTATTTTTCATTGCAGAGGGAATCACAGTATTGATGAGATAGGTTGCCCTGTCTGGTAAAAGTTTATTATTCACTAAGCTAATTTCTTTGCTCTATAGACTATGCAGCTGCTCAATTACGCCAGTATCAGCGGTTGACCAGGCAAATTAAACCTGACCTGGAAAAGTATGACAAATTAAGAGAAGAAAGGCAAGTATTTTGTTTCACAGTATTTTTTTTATTGTTACGTAGTAGAAGGGTCTGGAATGAATATTTGCAAATGAGATCATTCCCAAAGGCATATGAATTAGAGTATAGGTAGTCCATGACTTAGGACTGTAATTGAGCCCTCAATTTTGATCCTAAGTTATGATGGTTATAAACCAGGTTACCATGTGATTGTGCACATTGCATTGCGAATGCCACAGTTAAACAAACCCATTGTTTACTATGGGGTGTTTTTTGCTGGAAATTAAAAATGGCAAAAATGTAAATGTCCCATTATGCAAACATCCATAAATGTGGCTGGTTGCCCAAAATGTGGCCATGTAAAGGGTGTTTGTGTGTGTGAGGTTGATGAATCTGGGTGTAAGTAGCTTTTTCAGGATACATTATAATTTTGAATGGACACTAAATGACCAGTCATAAATCAAGGACTACCTGTAAATAATTTTGCACAGCTGGTGTGAAAGTAGAAAGGAAATGTTCCATCTACCTTGTTCAATTTTGGTTAAAGAGAATGAGAAAAGTAGAAAAGTTTATAGATATAGAATCAGAGTAGATTATTAATCAGCACTACCGTAACAGGTCAGATTGTTTGATATTTTTTATCCCAAATTCCTGAGCTAGAGAAATTTCACAAAGACATTATTGTTAATATTTTTTCCTTTCTCTCCTTCAGTGGTGAAGATTTTTTTCCAACTTCAAATAGTTTACTCCATGGAACTCATGTGCCCTCCAAAGAAGGTGTTGATAAAATGGTTTCAGATCTTGAAAAACAGTAAGTGCCCATATTCGTAATGAACTGCATGTTTAAATGTATTAAGCAGCTTGTATATGTATTTATCATAGACCTCCTGCTGAAATTCTATTTCAGATTGCATTATTTAAGGACGTTGTACGTATAGAGCCCATGTCGTTTTCTTTCCTATTAACTTTTCAAATAATATAATTATCGGCAAGGCTTTAAATTGCTTTGCCCCTTTTAAATGATTCTAAGTAACCATATTAACTATAGAACCAGAGATTGATTTGCTTTGGAGTGGATTAATGAAATGAAGTTTTTTTATTCCCCTTGACCCCATTAGCTGAATATACAAGAAAGAAAATTCTATTACTGTCTCAAATGAAGAACATCCAATATCTTATTAAAATATGAATTCAAGATGTAAGCTATAAGAACATAGGCTGAGTATTTGGATTTCTCTTTCAGAATCCAGAAACGCGAAAAATACAGTCGGAGACGCTCTTACAATGACGATGCAGATATTGACTACATTAATGAGCGGAATGCCAAATTCAATAAAAAGGCTGAGAGGTTCTACGGGAAATACACTGCAGAAATTAAACAGAATTTGGAAAGAGGAACAGCTGTGTAAACCGAAAAGTTCAGGAGGCTGGCCTTGCCTTCTGCGTCTGGCTTCTGTAAAACCTTCATGTGTAAAATACGCTTTGCAAACATGTTCTAATGCTAGAATGAGATTTGCCCACGTATATTACACCTCCTCTCAAAAAAGGGCATGTTAGAAAAGTTAACTATTATGTAAATGTATAAAACCAAACTATTTGAAGTTAGGGTTAGTGAGCCAATTATTTCATTTTTTTATTTTTAACGAAGATGAGAATGTGGAATCACAAATCCAGATTTTTTTTTTTAATGTACCTGTGGTTTATTTGAAAACCATTACAGTTGTGTTGATTGATATGTTAATTTTGGTAGTTGGATTAAACTAAAGAGCCGTAGCATATAAGGCTGTTTTTAAAACTCTCTTGATATGTTTGCTTAATGAGCATCTACTTTATAATGCAATTAGTGGGGAGCCCCCAAAGGTAATGAAACATAATTCAGACGGAGGTGCGAAACATATCCAAGTAGTCTTGGCTATTGTACACAAAAAAGGCTGGGTTAGTAAGCTCCCTCTAAATATTATTTATCTTTAGGAATGGGTGTAATATTGTTTGTACAGGTGGTCCTCAACATATGACTGCTTGTTCAGAGATCTCCATAGTGCCCCACTCCTCCACCTTCCCAACACCCACTTACTACCCTTGCTGACTAACCTGTTACCCAGTGCCCACCTACGGCACCTTTCCATCTCACGATCCTTACTTGGTACTCAACTCTTCCCACTTAATGACCCTTGCAGTAATTAGTTACAGCAGCATCAGAGACTGCTGCCGCTAAGTGACGCAGTCATGTGATACCATGCTTCATGACCACGTCATTTAGTATTGGCAATTTCAGTCTACTTAACCATAATAACCCGAGGATACTTTATAACAAATTAAGTGTTTCATCAAAAGATGCCAGTTTTATTATTCTGTTACATCAGGCGTCAGATGTGACCAAATGGTCAATTGTGCCTGGGTTAGTGGTGGCACATACTTTCCCCAACAATTGGCTGCTGTTCAGGGTTAAGTATTTCCTTTTAGGCCTTGCAAGTCTTTAATGCTCAGCTCTTAATCCAACTCTCAAAATCTGTAAAATGGCATAGAAGCTTTTCCTCCCTAACAAAGTGCTTGTTGGAATTAGGTGCTGCCTCAGTGTGCTCGCTCCTTTTCTGGTTGGTGCCAGCTGAGCTAGGCAGGAATCCCACCAGCATATGGTAGCTTCTAGTCCTGGCAGTTGAGATAACCCTCTTGCCTGGCTGAAATTGCTGCCTAGAATTGGTACATTCCTGAAAAATCTGGGCTGTGGTTCAATTTGCTAGACAGTGTGGATGCGAGTAAGGAAACTCTTCAGTGGGGGATGAATGAGTCCCATTTCCTCTGGATTTTCAAGGGCTGCATATCCAACTATCAGTTGTTAGTGGTTAACATAATACTATATTACTATGAGTCTACTGCATTTGGAGATGGTTCCCAAACTGACGGCGGTACAGAAGGCTTGGTTGATGCAGCTTGAGTACTGTCAAAAGTGGTGGTTCTGGCTTGCCTTTACAGAGCTTGAGGCTAGGTCCTGAAGTCTCTTTCCTCTATCTTGGCTTTCTGCTTGCATTCTGTCAATAGAATCTTACATCTAGTGCAGGGGTAGGCAACCTGGGCTCTTTTATGACTCGTGGACTTCAACTCCCAGAATTCCTGAGCCAGCCATGCTGAGGGGAAAGGGAGAGGTTTCCAAGCTGAGCCATGCTGGCCCAGGAATTCTGGGAGTTGAAGTCCACGAGTTATAAAAGAGCCCAGGTTGCCTACCCCTGGTCTAGTGCAAGAGAAGGTCTACTCCTGCTTTGGGGCAAGAGAAAATAATGCAGCCCTGTATAAGAGTTTGGGAAGACCTTTAAAGGCTCCTGAAGGCAGATTAACTCAAAACTCTTCCACTTTAAAGAAGAAAGCTTCCCAACATAAAGAGCTTGATTACAACATTGCCTATGGGTTTGTTAATTTTCCAAGATTAATTATGAAAATTTGGGGCAGTCACGAGGATGTGCTCAGCATGGTTAAAGATAGATGTTTTGGTAACCTTTTATTGGTACTACCATGGTATCTATAAAATATCACAATTGTTAATTCAGAAGGCATCAATTTTACCTGTGACCATATAGGTTTCTGCTCAAGTAAAGTGCAGAGTTGTAAAAGCTTTCAACACTTAAAACTTCTTTGCAGAAAGTTTTCAGTCTTTCTCTCAACGAAGAATAGGTTTAAATATAGCATCTCCAATAAAATAACTCAAGAAGTTCTCCAATTTACAACCCACTCAAGAACATTTTTAATTTAGTATTACTGCATTTCTTTACTAGAAATGTCGGTTGTCTCCAGACAATGTATTAATAGCTTGGATCCTATACTTACTTACCAAGGGCAACCATACACAGGACAAAGCTATTAATTTTCATTTTAATCTAACAAAGAGAAGATTTCCAGCCCCATACTTTCTTTCAGTACCATCTTGAACTGGCAATATCACTTAAGCCAGTGTTTCTCAACCTTGACAATTTTAAGGCATGTGGACTTCAACTCCCAGAATTCCACAGCCAGCATTGCTGGCTGTGGAATTCTGGGAGTTGAAGTCCACATGCCTTAAAATTGTCAAGGTTGAGAAACACTGACTTAAGCAGATGAGACTAAATTTGTAGATATGTCTTATTTGGGTACTTGCAAGGAAAAGCAACTCCAAAAATGGTTAACTTTCATTTTGCCCCTTTAAACTCCCTGAAAACATGTGGACTGATCTGGATGTTTGAAGTGGTACTTCTGATACATTATACTTTTGCTCTTTTAAGGCACCCATTTTACCCTTTAACACAAAAGCAGACCCGAATAATTCAAACTCAGTCTGTTCCATGGGTGGCAAACATTCCAGGAGGCTCACCAATAGTTTATGGTTAATCTATCCCTGTACCCATATACTGCTTGGGTGTTTTAGATTTCAGAAAACAGAATCTAATCAAATATGTGATTTGCTAAAATAGTTATTTTTACATGTCTTGTTCCTTTGAATAAAACAGTACAATTCCACAGAATAATCAAAAGTTTACTTGAAATTCTTTACTATTACAGATTTTTATGAAAATTGCAGAAAATATGCAACTTGTATAAATTCATCCTTCATTAATTTTGAATGCCATTTTTTCTTGATTATTGTAATGTTATACAATTCAAAATATTTGGCTGTAACACAGTATTTACACAAGCTATGAAAGTCAAAAAATAATCAATAGCGTATTAAGTACTACCTAAACTTGCCCTGACCAACTTTTTCTGCTCAAAGTATGACCTATTTGTTTGTGTCAAACTTATTTACAGCTAAATAAGAACTTTAAATTTCATATTAGAAATGTTTCTTACAAAAGTGCAAGGACAGTAATTTATGCAGTCTTAACAGGCAAGGATTAATATGCAAATACTCGAACTTCACTAATGCATCTTTTGCTGTCTTTATACTTACTGCAATAAGTAGTATTTTTGTTAAAGGGAAATATTAACTACATACCGTAGGTAAATTGAATTACCAACAAGAGCCATAAATCACTGTTTATAAAGTGCTTAAAATTATAAAATGAGAAACCTTCATTTGTTCTTATGTTACATGTATTACACACTATAAACTAAAATATTCCTATCTGTGACAATCCATTTCAGTCAAAAATCCTACTTGTATTCTGAGGTAACCTATATTTAAATCACAAAAATGAGATATTTTGAATTTCATAATATTTCAGATGCTATTAACCAGAAAAGAACTATTAGCGTGCTCTGAAAGTTGTACTTTTAGGTGAAAAATTATGAAACGGGACGTTTTCCTCATTCTTAACAGGAATCCACAGGCCAACAGAGCCATTTTTCTCTTCCTGGGGATACTCCAGGATTTTTAGAAAGCAGAATTGCTGATTTCAGGGCCAGTAGCCTTGGCATTATATTCTGAAAAATAGAAAATTTGAATAATTTGTCAGTCATTATTTGTTCAAGCAAATAATACATGTTTATTCTTAAAGGTAGCATATTAAAATGATAGAATTTTAGGATACTCCTGCAGTATCCTAAAACTACAATCCTTCCTAAGAATGTACAAAAATATTGTGTTTCACAGAAATTACTTGAACAAAATGCAAAAAACTCACAAAATCAATGCCATATGAAGTAGTTTCCTAATACTTTTCCTAATACTCATAATAGCCATGAAGAAATAGTTTCTCCTATAGGAATATATTTTGCATGGTTTCAAATTAAAGGTGAAAGGGTAACAACAAAATAAGAGCGTTAGAAGGGACCATGGAGGTCTTCTAGTCCAACCTCCTGCTCAAGTGGGAGGCCTTATAATGTACCATTCTAGTGGCTGGAACGTGAAAATTCCTTGCATGCTAACTTGGGAATAACTCTCCCTAAATTGAATTGGGCTGGTTTCTGAACAGAGCTGTGTAGGATTGCAAAACAATCCTACACTAAAATTGCTAATCAGTTTCTTGCTTTCAGACAAATAAACTTATGTTAGGACTAAAAGTAATGCCCATCATATATGTAATTCCATTTTTCTCTTCTGTTGTCTATTAGAGAAGATTTACATTTTAAGTTACTGCCACCTAAATAATTCATAACAGTCTGCTCTAGTCTCTTGATTAACACTACAATTGTTAATCTGAAAATACTTTTATCAGGTTTCCAAATAAGAGTTATATTAAGAAGTGCAGACAAGTGGCTGCAATTTATGTTCATCTTTGCTATTTTCAGTAGATACCCATCCCTAAATTTTAGTTTCTTTGTAAAATGGATTAATGGAAAGTTCACACTTCACTAAGAATTATATTTTGTTATTTCCTATTAAAGAATTGAGGAAATATTTTCAAATAGGCAGTTCCTAAGATTTTAATACCTTTTAATATCTAGAACATGTATAGTATTTTAATATCACCTAACCTCATTGCTTAAGAAAGTTTAGATTTTTAATTTGTTCAATTTTATATAAACATTTTCCAACCATTTCATACTAATTTGAGCCCCTCCCATGAGTCAGAACTAAAGCCCATAACCAATTACCAACAGATTTTCATGATTTCAATAAGACAGAAATAAATCATGTAAAATGTGCTGTGTGTTTGGATAATAGATTTCTGGAAACAATTTGTTCCATGACAGTTTGATGGGTACTACTGTACATTCTGTTTAAAGTTTAAAATCCATTTGATATAGTTTGACTGGGTTAACAAGAAAAATAGAAAGGAATTTTTTTTAAAAAATATTCAGTTTTGTTAATAGGATTCTTATTTTTAAAAAATCAGAAGTCGGATAATTTCAAGATTACATAGTAATTAAGATTTGGTAACCAGAATTAGTTTTAAAAAAGTATATTTTCCAACTATATAAATATTTTATATTTACCTTAAAAACTAAGTTGTTCTCTTTTGGCTTTCCATTTTCACTGGATTTAGTATCAATTTTTAAACTGGATGGCAGGACTATTTCTTCCCCAAAGGTTTTAGCTGCATTAGTTTTCGCTATTTCAAGTAGTTCTCTTTTCTATAGAAATAAATAATTTGTTTAAAATACATAAATTTCTCATTCAGATATCAGTTTTACCCCTGCCCCCGTACTTACTAAAAGGCACTAACATTCCCTCATCAGCTGTAATTATTTTAGAATGTACATGTTTTTCATAAACAAGCCAATACAATTACTTTCAAAACAAGCCAATAATTCAACAATTGTACTGTAATTTGAAGGCAGATACCTAACAACATTCACACAATTGCAACGCTTCTGATGTATTTATTTCTTCTTCCAAGATTTGCCATTATTTATAAGGTACACTGTAAGATGCTTCAAATACTGCCATTTTCATACCTGGACAAAGAATTTTCCAAATAATTTTGAAATACTTTCTTCACAAGATTTTTTTTCCCCTTAAATACCTTTTTCTGTCAAGCGAAGAGGGGTTTTACTGCGAGATCTTGTTTGGGAATGGTTTCTCCACCTTTTATTGCCAGCCCACGGGCCAGATGCGTCACGCCAAAACCATGCCCACCCCACTGCTGGCAATGGGAAAAAAGTTGCAATACGTCACATCATGTGACATCACAAGTTTGACACCCATGTTCTGTAAGTTTCCAAACATATGGTTCTTCCAAACCTATAGTATCCTCGGCTTCTTGATCTACCTGAGGAGTAAGACCTGTGATAGTATGATCTAATAGGAGATCTGCTCCGTGATCAATACCTTGGCCGTGAATGAGGATGTCTTCTGTAATATCTAAGAAGGTATCTTTCCTGGTATCCGTAATTGTGTGGTCTGAAAACAATTACTTTTAGCATGTCATCTTGATCTGCTTCTTGATCTACTCCAGCTTGTGGAAGAAGATGAAATACTTGCAGTAGAACTTGAACTGTAAGATGAATTACTAGAAGATATTGAGGAGGATCGCCTGCTACAGCTGCTTCTTGAACATAACCGAGATCTCCCTTTAGGAGAGCTCAGAGTAAAGTCATCCATGAATCCTGTCATCTCATCTGCCTTTTTGCTCACTTTCTGCTTCTCAGAAATTTTAGAACATGTCCTCCCGATTACTTTAGATTAAAAAAAAATGTCTTAGAAAACCATAATACTGTAAACTTAAATTTCTCCTACTACTTATGTCTTTCTGACCTGCCTTATTTCATATTCCATTTTATAACAATCACTAGAACTATTTTCCAACTTTACTCAAATTCCTAACAATAATCAAGTATTTAGGAGACAAGCCTAAGCAATTTACTCAGACATGTTTCACTGCTAACACAAAACAGCATGATTAGAATTCTTTTAACAATGTGCCCACAAAGATTAAGACTGTATCAGCACTTAGTCAAAATGCAGCTGTTACATAACAGCCATCTTAGCAACACACATTATTGCTATGGAGTCCATCCTGCTATAAACACAACTCCAAGTCTTTCCTTCTATACATCTGTTCCTTTTTTCCGGTTTCATCATTGTTAATAAATTTGCTGCACATTTAGAAAGATTGTACCCTGCTGTTTTCTTCTATCTCATAACCACCAGTTACAGAATTTCAGACTACAAATATCCTAGCTATAAAACATTAACTCAACCATACACCAATTCATAGTTTAAAATTACCATCAAGCACTATGGAAATCTCTTTCTTCTTGCAACTTCCATTGATTTGGTGAGGACTCCTGCAAAAAATTAAGTGAACAACTAGATCAATCTCTTCCTAATGCAAATATTAGTATTTTACCTAGTAACATCAGAGATTTATTTCATAGTAGTTTGAAATGAAATGCACTGTAAAATTGCACTGACAAAGTAAGCATTCAAGCACACCTTGAGGTACTATAATCAATACATGGGGGGAGGAAATCAATTGTGTTCAGTCAGACAAGTCATGATGATCCATCTACAATATTCAAACAATCATCAAATTAAAAAGCTGTCAAAATTTGCACAGAATATCAAGCCATGTTAATCATTCTTGCTTAATATGCACAACACTGAACCACAAAGCAATCATGAGTGATATGCAAATCCAGTCAGCACAACAATTCACATACCGGTTCAGTATTAAACTTTTGGCTAGATGGTTAATTTCTCTGTGTTAAGGTATAGCTTACAGAGAATTTAACCGTTTCTCCTTCTTGCCCCCAGGTTAGCAATACTTTACCTAACCCTATCTTTGGTTATTGTAAATATACTCAATGCCTTTGGTTATTATTTTAAACGCATTAGGAAAAAAAGGGCCAAGACCAAAAGAACGAGTTTTAAAAAAAACAAACGGTAGATTGCACTGTTACAAACGTAATCCAATGCTCCTTCAAGTTTATAGCCAATTAAAGGGAGGGCTGCAACAAATGATAGAGGAAAAAATTAAGACATTTGTTTAACTACAAATTAAGAAAAAAAATCCGTAATTTGCCCATTAAAATCTGACAGCAGCAGAAATTAGGTACAATTTCTGTATCAACCAAAGCAATTTGCACTCATCTTTACCAAAACGAAACAGGCTTGATACGGGATTTCCAAATAAAAATTTCAGAACCGAACTGGATTTTACGGCCATTGACGAATACAGAAGAATTTTACCAAACAACGCGGTCTTTGCGGTCAGATTTTAAGGAAGGGAAAACCCAGTGCAGTTTTCTACACACCTCGAGCAGCTTCGGCCGATTTTTGTAGACCGGGCTGGCCAAAGGGAAGGCCAGGGCAAGCTGACCTCGCCCCTGCCATAAACAACAGGCAACAACTAAGGAGCGAGCTCTCTTCGGCCTTTCAACACGACCATCTTAAGGCCCCGAAAATCGCGCCCTGAATTCCCAGGCCTTGCGGCGTCTTCGAGTGAGGGGGAGACCCGATACCTCCATCAGGGGTAGCGTTAATCTCATGCGGGGGGGGCGCTAAATCAGGGTTAACGTAGCCTTTGTGGCGAGTTAATATTACGCATAAAAACAAAAACAACCCGAACAGGACTTCTTGGCTCCGCGGAGGTCCCTGAGGGGAGAGCTCGGCTTTGTTAGTCACTGCCATTTTAGAGCAAAGTAGATCGAGACGAGGAAAGGCTTGAAAAAACACTCCAAATTCCTCACGCTAACGATGAAATAGGTAAAAAGCTCCCTCGCGACTCCTCAGGAGAAAACTGGTTCGCCGTCAGCAGCCGCCGCCAAGCGGACCCTCTCCTCCGAGCGCCAGACTCTGAAGGAAGGAACCAGAAGCTTCCAGAATAGCTTAGCGAAGAGCTCGGGTAAAGCGCGCGACTGCTAAATATTCATGGCGCTATTGCGCAAGCGTACTACAGTGTAGGCGGGGCCTATCTATGTGTGGACTTCAGCTCCCAGAATTCCTGAGCCAGCCTGGCTCAGCTTGGAAAGCTCTCCCTTTCCCCTCAGCATGGCTGGCTCAGGAATTCTGGGAGTTGAAGTCCACAAGTCATTAAAAGAGCCAAGGTTGCCCACCCCTGTACTAGGGAATTCGTCCCACGGAATTAGAAATCGGGAATCTTTCAGGAACATTCTCATGAACCTCGCCGTAGCACGAAAATGTTAAACGTTCTGACATATAGTTCTTAGGCTAACTGACTGGTCCAGTATAGCTATCATCGGCGTCATTCTTAAGTGTAAAAAACATTGGCGGGGGTAACAGCCACTTCTTTTAAACATGCCACAATTTTGCCTCCCACGCTAGATTTGGCCCTCGACATAACCGAATACTCTCTTGGTGGCTCGATTTTTAAAGACTCAAAACACGCCCATCACCAACAGACTCCGTTTTCGGCAGAGCGCCTGCGCAGCCTGCAGCTGGGCTGTCAAATGATCCCGCCCCTTGGCGGCGCATGCGCAGCCCCAAAGTCCTATTTCAAGCGGAATCTCTAGTCTAGAAAGCTTGCGCCTACGTACGAGCGGGCGAGGCGAGTTTTGCGCTTGCGCAGAAAGGGCATCCTGGATGCGGCCTTTCTAGCATACGGGTTCTTGAGCCGGCCCCGCTTTTGTTTATCTCAGGGCGAAGGCGGGGTTAGCGCTGGCGACGCCCGCAGTCAGCTGAGCGCGTGCCGGCTATCTTTCCGAGGCGCTTGAGGGGCGGTAAGTGAGGAGAGGACCCCGCGGCCTCCGGCGAAGAGTCTCCATCTGCCCGAGAGGGTCGCAGCCCGGTGCTAGCGCTGGCCGGCGTGGGTGTATGGCAGACTGAAGAGCCGCGGGTCTCCCGAGCGATTTCCCCCCAGAAGCAGGGCCTGCGCGTTTGGAGATTCGTTCTCACGACACGCTTAACTCGGGGACTGAATGAATCCCCTTGGGAGGGAGGGGGGTTCGATGTCGGCATCGGCCCAATGGCTGACTGGGGAATTCTGGGAGTTGAAGTCCACACACCTCTAAATGTGATTAGATTACAAAACATTGGTGTATATTCTATATATACGGTGTGGAAATGTTTATGAGTCAGTAACTGAGATTTCCAGGTATATGTAATCGTGACTGATTTAGTAAGGGGATTTATTTTTTATTTATTGTTTTTAGTTGGCCTGACATACAAAAAAACCTACACTAAAATGTGGCTGGCAGGTTTATAACGATGTATGTTGTGTGGACCTAGAGCAGTGGGTGAATTGAATTAAACAGGATGTGTGAGTGGTGCTCTTCTTATGGTAGGAAATGGGAGTATTTTATCCACACAATAAAACCAGTAGAGAAAAGTAAGAACTATTTCAATAGAACCCAAATGTGCTTTTTCAAAAGGCAGCTGGACTTTGTTTTTCTTTGAAGATGTTTCGCTTCTCATCCAAAAAGCTTCTTCAGTTGCCTTTTGAAAAAGCACCTTTGGGACATCCATGACTGAATTACTGAGAATCTCCATAGACATTTCAGTGTAACAGTCAGACTATTTCAGAGTCTTCATTGCTATGCATCTGGAGCAACTTAATTTTGACCTGTGAATACTGTACAGTTCACCAACTGGGGTACTGAAGTTTCCTTATCAAAGGATGTTTGAAAAGAAGCTCTGGTTGGCATTAGAGTTTTGTATTTGTTGAAATGTAGCCATTTTGTCGATATGAAGGCCAAACTTCGTGTTCAATTGGAATAACTTCCACTGCATTAAGCAGAAGTGATTTTCTGAAGAGTATGTATTTGCACACTTACTTAGGCGGAGGAATTTTTATCCTGAGTTTGCTGAAAATCTCTCTAGTAAAGGAAGTTGTAAATGGGATATTTTCAATTGTGTGATTATCTGCTTTTGTTAAGAAAAGCAATTTGCTGATGATAAACATTTGCTTAACAGCATATTTTATAGTCAAATGCATCTAGATCAGGGGTCTTCAAACTTGGCCCTTTTATGACTTGTGGACTTCAACTCCCAGAATTCCTCAGCCAGCATCCCTGATCTAGAGACTTAACAAAGCACAGCTGAGATATGTGTTTCAGCACCTCTGGATCTCTCTGTGTATGTGTATGGCTAAAGGTATCTGTCAACATTTTTATATGCATCTTGGATTCTAACACTTTGAAAGCAGTAAATACTGTTGGCACATTTTTAAAAATAATGCATTTAAAATGAAACCAGAGAAAGAAAAATTACATTCATTTTCTTGCCTAGGTTTTCCAGAGGATTAAAATATGTCTGGGTTCCTTGAAAATGTTAGATGCTCCGAGTGTGTTGACTGGGGAGAAAAGCGAAATACAATAGCATCTATCGCAGCTGGTGTGCTGGTGTGTATGTTTAATTCTTATCTGTATACTAACATGCCTTACAATGTAAAAATCTTTACTGTTATACTACGAATATTTGACATGCATAATATGAAAGAATCCATAGGTCAACCTTGAAATTAAGTCAGTAAATTTAGAATGCAGCTTATCTTTTAACGTTCTTCTATAAAAGTATTGTTATTTGGGGCCAGCAAGTGTTTGTGCTTATTGTAATCTTTTTCTCATTGTCTCTCAAATATTATTATTTTAATGTCTATTAGAGTAATGATAAAAGATGAGCATTGTGTTGATGATGCTGATAATGGAAATGTGTTCAGTTTTTTACAGGGTGGTGGATTATAATAGATGCAGCTGTCAAATATCCAGGTTCAGAAGAGTTCAATCATTCATACCATGCTTGTGGAGTTATAGCTACGGTTGCATTTCTAATGTAAGTAATATTTCCATCCCAATATTTCTTTAAGAATGTATTTGAAATATATGTTCAAATCTAATACCTGATATTCAACATCTAATTGAATGTTCTGTAGCTTAATCAGACTGAATACACATTCCATTTAACCAAGCCCTAGGTTTATTTTGTTGTGGGATACAGCTACCTTAGGGCAGGGGTAGGCAACCTTGGCTCTTTTATGACTTTTGGACTTCAACTCCCAGAATTCCTGAGCCAGCAGGATAAAAGAGCCAAGGTTGCCTACCCCTGCCTTAGGGTAAATGATTTTTATGGGTAACAAGCTGAGACTGCTTGGAGTTTAGGTAGAACATCAGGAAGGCTACATATTGCCCATGGTTGTCCCAGTTTCAGATGAAAATTTCTCATTGAGGACCACATTGCCATAGTATTGAAAAATTGGGCTCAGAAGTGCCTGAAGGCTGACTTGTGTCATGAAAATGCCAGATGGCATTAACAAGTTTTTGCCTTCATCCTTCTTCCTTTTGCAACATAGAGATAATAATTCTGCTCTGCCTCATGCTATTACTGCAAGAAAGGCAACAATAAAATGCAAAGTTAAAGAACATTTCAGACACTTTGAAAGGCCATCAGTTACTGAATTTTCAACATTCATGCCAAATTCAATCTGTGTTGTTTGTGTAGGATCAATGCCGTCTCCAATGGTCAGGTGCGTGGGGACAGTTACAGTGAAGGGTGCCTTGGGCAAACAGGTAAACATATTTTTCCTCTTATTATTATTTATAGCACAATTGAAAGAAAACGTTTTAAAAAAAATAAATGCTGTGACAGCCTCTTTCCCATCTATTTAAAAATTCATTTTTTTTCATGGATGAGAAGTAATAGCCCTCCTTTATTCTGTTCGTTTAGCAAGTTGGAGTATAATATTCCTAACTTTACAGAGAAAATTCAGTTACAATTTGAAATGATGCATCTGCCATTTTATTTTCTCATATATTTTTTGAGACCCAATTCTCCTATCTTAGCAATTTATGCTAAGATCCAATTGATTTAGAGACCATGGTTTTGTTTTCTGTGCTTCTGGGAAAATAACTTTTTAAAATGGGTTCCGATAATTAACTCTTAGGCTACCTATGTAGCTGTTTTGGTTATGCGGAGGATTGGAGATAGATCTTCCCAACCCAGTATTAGATTCTCAAAATAAGCTTTTAAGGAGATGCAGTGGGAAATGTTTGTTTTCCTAAAGGGATATGTTTGATAATGTACGATATCTGTACGTTGGGGGTGGGGAGAATACATTTTTAGGGTTTTGATCATAGAATATTCCGAACATTCCCTAGGTGTTACCATACAAGCAAGAAAATCTGTTTGTGTCATGTATGAAAAATGTTGAATTTGTTTATTTTGAAAATAATGTGGTTATCTTTGTGTACATTAAGGTGCTCGCATCTGGCTGTTCATCGGTTTTATGTTGGCATTTGGATCCCTGATTGCATCAATGTGGGTTCTCTTTGGAGGCTATGTTATTAATGGTAAGAAAACTGCACGTGAAATATTGTTCAATTGTAGTCTTCTCTGGAAAAAGAGTGTATCTTTTTTCTCTGTGTCAAGCTCTTCTAAAATTCCATTGGAAATAAGAAATCACGGCATTGTATAAAGCTCTTCTCTTATATAAAGACAGTTCTTACCTAGAGGCTCAACACAGTTATATTACCACTGTCTTTTTTTCTTTAATTTTTTTAGGCTGTGTTCACACAGACAAGAAATCTAATATACTTATAGCATAAACTACAATGTGCTAAGTTTTAAATATACACAAATCATATTGTGCTTTAATATTATATAAACAGGGCTTTGGAGAATCCTGAGTTGTGAAAGCTCATTCTTAACATCGTTATAGAAACTACTGTATATAAAAAATATATTCTTTAGAATGTGATTGTAGGCATGTTTACACTCTGCCCAAGCAGAATGAGGTTTGCTTTGAGGAAAATTATTTGTATTCCATCTTTCTACCATTTCCACATGTATTTGCTGGTTTATTTTTCAGTGTGTAAATTACTGTAGTTTGAAATAGACTGCTTTGAACAATATTTTAATTGTCAAAAAGCTAGCAAAAATATTTTGTGAATCATTTGATCATGGCAGGAAAACAGTATCAAATTTTGCAAGTAAGTAAATTCCTAAATAAACTGTTGGATACATTCCTAAAAACTGTTTGCCAGATTCTGATAAGAATGGCACCATCAGAAGCCATCTCTTAACGCTTTTAGCATTGAGAAAATAAACTACACTGGTGTGGGAAGATGCTAATAATAAACTTCAGGAGTCTGATAAAATAATTTTTTTTCCACAGAAAAACCAGACAAGCCACCGGTTTATCCAGGAATCGCAGTCTTCTTTCAAAATGCTTTTATTTTCTTTGGGTAAGAATGCTTTCCATTCTTTATTTGGATTTATTATGTATATTATTATGCTCATCTATTATTTATTATGATAATCTGTTTTATCAACCTGGATATTTTGAGAAGTCCTGTGTAAGTGGTTGTTTAAAAAAGGTTGGAGGCAGTGGTAAAAATGAACCAGTTTACGATACTGATATAAATTTTAGCAGTGATGTGTGGGGGTGTTACCATAAAACTTGAAAAAAAAATGGAAAACTTTAAAAAAGATTTATTTGAGATATTTATATCTTTTTGTTCTCGTTTATGCTGATTAAAATAACAAAACGCGCACTGAGCCAACAAAACTAATCATAAAAATATATTTATAGACTGCCTTTTATTGAGATACATAACAACCAACTTAATTAAAACATCGTAATGTCAAAGCTGGCCAGTAAATATGAATCTTCACTCAATAAAAGTATAAAAGCATAAATAAATAAATCAAATAATACTATCAAACAAGAACCAGCAACAGAATGTGGTAAAATAAGGTTTTTCCAAAGTTATGCTAAGAACATATTTTCGTATATTAATAAAATTGAAGCTTAGGTTGCCCCTTACATCCTTCGTCTGAAATAATATTCAATCTGATTCAGGACAAGGCTGTTCCCCTTTGTCTTTTCCTAGAGAAAAGCATCTAAAGGAGTTTTCAAGATAAGGATACCTTACATGCCTAAGAAATCCTTATTTGTCCAAAGAAATGGGGTGATGCTTGATTTTGGAAATGAGAGAGATTTGTGCCAACAATATAAGAGTTTTTTTTTTACAAGCACACACCAAACTTGCTACTTTACTAACTCTGCTACACATCCATATTTCAGGTATATAAGCCATAGCAAAAAGAAACAGTGCAAATTATTGACCCTACAGATAGCATTTAGAGACGCAGTTGGACTGAGCATGCCAGAAAGGGTGCAGGCTTCACACTTTCCTTACACTAAGCTTTGATGGTGTCCCAGTTGAGCAGCAAAGTTTTGATTTCAGGGCCTTTTTCTCTTGACATTTGTATTCCAACAAAATTAAGCTAGATTATCTGAAAAGGAGCAAGCTCTCTGAAAAGGGGCAACTTGCACCTATTTGCCTAACTTACACATCACACTAAGCCAGAGGTCCTTCATTTGTAGTTCGCTGAACAAAATTTTTGCCTTATTCCCAGAAGGTATTAAGCCAAAATGAAGAACCCACTTTAGGGCTTGGCAGTATGAAAGTCGCCATTTACTAACATGGATTTTAAATATACTAAGGGTGCTTTTGGCTGTAAGGCCTATTCAAGCATTGTGATGTGGGTTCATCGTACAATACATTTGACGGTGGAAAAGCAAGCTTTGGGATCGCATGTTTCCTTTGGGAAAAAAAATGGGGGATTTCTTCCAGTCAATATTATAGCATTGCTAGCTGTGGAATTCTGGGAGTTGAAGTCCACATGCCTTAAAATTGTCAAGGTTGAGAAACATTGTTTTAGAGACTGAGTGCCCAAACTGCAACCCAAAACCTACTTATGCATCGTCGGGTGCCGGGTGGGTGTGGCCCATTGGCTGGGTGTGGCCAATTGGGGGTGTGGCCAATTGGGTGGGCATGGCTGCGGTGGTAACGGCAGACTGGGTGAGACTAAAAAGTTCAATCAATCAATTCCAACTTTGCAAAATCTTTTTTTTCCGCAGAAGTTGAAATTGATTGAAACTTTTTTTTTTTTTTTTTTTTTTTTTTTTTGGACACGGCAGCGGAGGCCTAAAGCGAAAAGATTTTATAAAACCCAGCTGAAGGTCTAGGACTGGGGCGACGGCGCACATGCCCACAGAGAGGGCTCTAAGTGCCGCCTCTGACACCCGTGCCATAGGTTCGCCACCACTATTATAGGCCATAAAATGGGGAACGTTTATCTGTGTAATATGATTTTAACATCATGGCCTCTTTTCTGGCCTTTATTTATTTCTCACACTGGTTTGCCTTTCAGCAATCAGAACATTGTGTCAAACTAGTGGCCTGCAGGCTGGATGTGTCAGGCCATGCCCACCCCGGCTCCACAAAGGCAAAAACCCCGTCACAATACATCACATGAGGCAATCGAGTTTGACACCCGTGCCTTATGGAGTCTTTTTGCCTGGAAAACAGTGTTTCTCAACCTCATCATCTTTTTAAGATACTTAGACTTCAGCTCCCAGAATTCCCCAGCAAGCACACTGGTTAGCGAATTCTGGGAGTTGAAGTTCACACATCTTAAGTGCTGAAGTTGAGAAGCATTTCTGCAAAGTATGAATAGTGTATTAATGGCACAGCAAAGCAGTCAAAGTAACGATTGAAATGAACACGGGCTATATTAATCTCTGACTGAAGGAAATCTTTTCTCTTCTGCTTTTTTTTAATATCAGGGTCCCGACCTCCATGTAGCTAATCATTTGTCTCTCTTTCTAACAGCGGTCTGGTATTTAAATTTGGTCGCACTGAGGACTTGTGGCAATAAGTGACGTGGAGCATCTCACCTGCTATTTTTAATCACCATTTTGTAATATATTAGTGCTCTGCTATCGGCAAAGAAGAAAACGGTCCACATTTTTAAATCATGATACACTTCCATTTTTGTTCCCTTGAGACTTTTCTACTCTTGGCTTTTTGACGTTAAATATCGTAGCCTGCAATTAAGCTGAGATGGAAGAGGAACTCTTTACCTCTTACTGAATGTTTTTGTTATACCTTAATATTAATGTATCTTTTACCGTTCCTTTATTCGGGGGTATAAGTGCTGTTTTTTTTAATTGTGAAATATGTGACTGACAGCATACATGGAATGCCTGTATGTGAAGGTTATTATGTGCATAAAAATGTAATAGAAATATACTGTTAATTGTATTGCTAAGGTGACTTTCTTCTTGCAGATTCTTGCAAAGTTTTTGAATTTTAGCAAAAGCTTATCCATCATGGGAGACTAGCCTTTTCCTCAGATACACGCCCTGTCTTCCCCGCACGTGTGGTTTTCCATCATGTCTGGGAGGTGCTATTTGCAGAAGGCTGTACAAGAAATTTCCAATGCAACCTTCTGACTTTGCAGGGACGTCAATTCTCAATTGTGGAAAGGAATCAGTAGTCTGGTTTGTCCATTGGGTTAACTAATATTTTTTTTAATCAAAGCACTCTTGACACAGGATGCTGAGCCAAACCTAAACAAACCATATGATGGCTTAGAGCAGTGGTTCTCAACCTTTTAAATGCCGTGACCCCCCCCAACCGGTTATAAGTCGAGGACTACTCAACCGGTCGTAAGTTGAGGACTACTCAGCTGGTGCAGCACCGTTTGCAGAATGGGACTTTTGGCGGGCTCAGCAGGGCAGAGACAGCCTGGACAATTCCTATTGGCTTTTGAAAGCCAATAGAATTAGACTCTGTTCAAGAGAGTCTATTCTATTGGCTTTCAAAAGCCAATAGAAGAAAAGGGAGTAGCACAGCTAAGGAAAAGGGGGGGGAAATGGAGGACTGCGTTGTTTGGCGACCCCCGTGAAATGGTCGTTCGACCCTAAATGGGGTCCCGACCCACAGGTTGAGAACCACTGGCTTAGAGCATCATATGCCGACCCATGGGCCGGATACGTCACGCAGAAGCCACACTCACCCCAGCTCTGGCAAGGGGGAAAAAAATCATGATATGTCACGACACGTCATGTGATGTGGCGTGTTTGACACCCCCGGCTTAGAGTAATACATGAACTCCATGATTGTGAAAAGCACTATATATAAACACAGAATGGTGTGACTGGATTCAGTTTCACATATAATATTTAATCTTCACCTTCCACTCAACATTATTTATGCATTTTAGAAGCCTAGAATGTAAAAAGCACCATTTTTTTTAAAAGAAGCACTGACATTAATTTTAGCCTTACAAGCAAGTATTTTATACGAAATGCTTACCAAATATTCTGGCAATTTTAATAAAGCAAATAAGTCTCTTTTCATGCATTTTTGTGGGATCAGAGAGAAAGTCTCTTAGCTATGTAGCTTGCTGCCCTCCTGAAGATTGTGTTCAGAATCCAACAGCTAAATGGGGGAACTAGATATAAGAAAAATAAGATATTTTTTTTAAAATACTGTTTTCTATCTCAGTAATGCACTCTTAAATGCAAATACAAATTAGGGTGAGTTTACATATGGTGGAAAGTTGGTTCTGCCAAAGTGTAAGATATATACAAATCTTGTTTGCTTAACCAAACCTACTGAATCCCCCTAGGTGGCTAATTAACCTGGTTAGACATAAGCTGTAGCTTACAAACCAAAATTACTAGGTTTCTACAAAACATTAACACCAAATTGAGTAAATTACATTCAAATGGAATCCGATTCTAGAACATCCAAAACAGTGAGAAATATGTAGAGTGGTTGTAACATGTTCATATTACATGTATTCATCAATGAGAAAGATTTGGGTTCTACACTTTTTAATATAGTAGCGTTCAGTATAATAACACTGTAAAATATAATCCTACCTCCCAATAAGCTTGATCATCAAAGTATTTTGTTACAGGAGGTGCTTTCCATAATTTGCAAGTTAAAATGAGACCTATAAAAAAAATTGAAACCAGAGGTGCATTGAAAATCTGAACATCTGCAATAGGTTTCTACAGTTTATCACTGTTAATGACACCCAGCTAAATCATTTTGGGTCTTTTAGCTTCTATCTAATTCTACATCTCCAATTGCCATTTGATACACCCCCTAAGCGTCCCTTGCTTCATCTAATTTCTCCCTTTATCCAACTCTTGAGCTGAAGTTCTTTTCTCCCAAAGTGTCTTCTGATCCATGAGCATTGGAGATCCCCAGATCCTGCCAAAAGTTGCCATCAATATGCTCATGTAACAGGATGGGAAGTGATTAAATACACTGTAGATAATTATATTTTAATTTCATTTTAATGTATGCTGATTTTGTTGTTGTTAATTGCGAAGTCGTGTCCGACCCATCGCGACCCCATGGACAACGTTCTTCCAGGTCTTCCTGTCCTCTACCATCTTCTGGAGTCCATTTAAGTTCACACCTGCTGCTTCAGTGACTCCATCCAGCCACCTCATTCTCTGTCGTCCCTTTCTTCTGTTGCCCTCCATCTTTCCCAGCATTAGGCTCTTCTCCAGTGAGTCCTTCCTTCTCATTAGGTGGCCAAAGTATTTGAGTTTCAACTTCAGGATCTGGCCTTCTAAAGAGCAGTCGGGGTTGATCTCCTCTAGGACTGACCGGTTTGAACGCCTTGCAGTCCAAGGGACTCGCAGGAGTCTTCTCCAGCACCATAGTTCAAAGGCCTCAATTCTTTGGCGCTCAGCCTTTCTTATGGTCCAACTTTCACAGCCATACATTGCAACTGGGAAAACCATGGCCTGGACTATACGCACTTTTGTTGGCAGGGTGATGTCTCTGCTTTTTAGTATGCTGTCTAGATTTGCCATAGCTTTCCTCCCCAGGAGCAAGCGTCTTTTAATTTCTTGGCTGCAGTCCCCATCTGAGGTGATCTTGGAGCCCAGAAAAATAAAATCTGTCACTATCTCCATTTCTTCCCCATCTATTTGCCAGGAATTGAGAGGGCCGGATGCCATGATTTTGGTTTTCTTAATGTTGAGTTTCAAGCCAACTTTTGCACTCTCCTTCACCCGCATCAAGAGGCTCTTTAGTTCCTCTTCACTTTCTGTGTGCTGATTATGCTGATTAGTGTACATTTAAAGTGACAATAAAGTTTTTATTCTATATGTAATTTAATTTAATTGAATCACAACTGGATTATAGACGCCTGATGGCACAGTGGTTAGAATGCAGTATTGCAAGCTAATTCTGCCCACAGCCTGGAATTCGATCGTGACGGGCTCAAGGTTGACTCACCCATCCTTCTGAGGTCAGTAAAATGAAGACCCAGATTGTTGGGGGCCACATGCTGACATTGTAAACCAGGAGTGTCAAACTGCCGGCCTGCAGGCCAAACACATCACACGGAAGCTGCGCCCATCCTATTACTGGCAATAGCAAAACAGTCCTGATATGTTGCGTGACGTCATGTGACATCACGAGTTTGACATGTCTTTTGTAAACCATCCAGAAAATGCTGTAAAGCATTGATTCTCAACGTCAACCACTTTAGATGAGTGGACGTCAAATCCCAGAATCCCCCACCAGCATGAGGTTGAGAAACCCTGCTGTAAAACACTATGGGGCAGTGAGTGCCATTGCTATTGCTATAGTATCGCAACGTTCCCCTAGCCATTTTTTAGCTCTTCAAAATACCCTTTTTAGGCATGATTTTTGCCAAGATACAAATACAGATCGGTAAATATATGGCAGGGTTTGAAACATAAAATACCCTATGTGTGCTAAGATCCCTACACAAATGTCCACTTGTGCAAAACTTGGTTTATGAACTATCCAACTTTTAAAATCTCAGACTTTCTTGTCCTCATCATAAGGAATGGTGAAAACATTCCCCCCAAAAATCCATCAGCTGGATAGTCAATAAGCAGTATCGGATGGGAGTAATTTTAGTCTCTCCGCCACCACATCTGACAAACTCCCAAGTGTTCTAGAAATTCAGCTTCTTTTATCAGAAAAAAATCTGTTCTATGTTAACTTCACTGAATTCAGATTTTAATACACGTTTTAGAGGTGTGGTTTATCCTGTAAAGCAGAGGTCTCCAACCTATGGGCCGCGGCCCAGTACCGGGCCATGGCCTCTTGGCTACTGAGCCGCGTAAGTGGCTGGCCAGTACATGTGCGCGTGTGTGCTCACCCTCCCTCGTGCTGGCGCTAGCCTTGGCACGATCTTGGGTGTGACTCTCGTGCTGGCACTAGCCTCGCCACGACCCTTGCACCGGCGCTAGTCTCAGCATGATCCTTGGCACGAACTTCACGGTGGCGCTAGCCTTGGTGTCATGCCTTCATCCGAGCCTGACTCTGAGGACGACATGGAGTTCCCTGTTGGGGCCCAGGAAGGGGTGTCTGTGGCTTCGGAGGACTGTGGGGAGGAGCAGGCTGAGGCAGGCCAGGGCCCTTCAGGTTTGGAACAGGGAAGGCAGAGTTCAGGCGAGGAGCAAGGTCCCTCCCCACCAGATCCCAGAGCAAGGAGAGCAGAGAGGAGGAGGGAACAACAGAGGCAGGCTCACTTGCTCGGGAGGAGAGCGTCCCGCCCCACTCCACAAGGCACACCTGGGGAGTAGGATTTAAGGAGACGCTGTGGGGTGGGGCATTTGCCGGGAACAAACGTGAACTCTTGTGATAGCGTGTACCTGGACGCTTTGTATTTTGGACCAAGTTTGCTTCCTGCTGATTTCTCCTTGCTGTCTGCGGTGTGCAGTTTGCAGTTCACAGGCAAACTGGGAGTTGAAAGGATTATACGTTTGCTTGTTATCTGTTTTACTTGAAAGAACCATGTAAACTTCCCTGACTGTTTTATTGAACTTGTGCCAGCATATGTGGGGGTTGTTGGGTGAACGTTGGCAGTGCTTAAAAAGACAATTGTTCTGACCAGCTGGCTGCTTTGCCTGCGTTCGGGGCCCTGGGTCATCACACTTGGTGTGACCCTCCACCAGTGCTAGCAGCCCCATTTATGGAGGATGCATGCTCACGGCCCCATTCACACCTATGCGCGCACAGCTACATTTGGGTGTGAGCATACGCGCATAAAGGTGTCTGCCCCTCCCTTTCCCACTGGGCCGCCAACCCAGAAAGCTGGTGACCCCTGTTGTAAAGGTTGGACAATCTTGGAGGATAATTGCAGACCCAATAAAACACTTGTAATTGACGCTCTATTGGCCGAGAAGAGATTTTGGGATACCGACCTGTAATCAGACCACCGAACAGACTGAGGCATAGGCTCAAGCTGAGTGCACCAACTTCAATTAAGGCTGAATAACCAAATCTGTAATTGATCATAAAGGCAAAGAAGCACTCAAAAGTCAAGAAGGGAAATAGAAGACGCCTTCTGTTTTCTAAATAGGGACTCTTGCTAGTCTTTACAAGCTGTTTCATTAATTTCTAAACTTTCTTTCTTAAGGACACTGTTTCATACCTCCTGCATGCTGTGGAGCAGCCAGGAGTTCTGGAGGTCTTGGATATTTCACAGGGGTTCTCAACCTTGGCAACTTTAAGACTTGTGGACTTCAACTCCCAGAATTCCTCAGCCAGCAAAGCAAAGCTGGCTGAGGAATTCTGGGAGTTGAAGTCCACAAGTCTTAAAGTTGCCAAGGTTGAGAACCCCTGCCTTAGAGCTGCTTAAACTGAGTGTCCCCTGAAACATACTTAATTCTACTGCAGCTGTGCAAAGATAATAGAGGTCAGTCCTAGTGGGTCAGCTATCTTGAAGGGGAAATCAAAACCCAATCAAATAAGGTCAAAAAGCAAGAACATATATGAGCTCCCAAATCACTTTTCCAAAACTTTAAGGTAGTTCTGGGCTTGTGAAAATAGAGTGACTGGTTAAGTCACCTAAGGACTTCGATGTTTGAGAAGGAAGCTATACACAGGGTAGTCCTCAACTTACATTTAGTGACCGTTCAAGGTTACAATGGCACTGAAAAATGTGACTTATGACCATTTTTCACAGTTATGGCCTTTGCAACATCCCCGTGTTCCTGTGATCAAAATTCAAATGCTTGGCAACTGGTTCATATTTATGACCGGTGCCGTGTCCCTGGGTTATGTAATCAGCTTTTGCAACCATTTGGCAAGGAAAATCCATGGGGAAGCCAGATTCACTTAACAATCGGATTACTAACTTACCAACTGCAGTGATTCACTTAATAACTCTGGCAAGGTTGTAAAATGGGGCAAAACTCACTTAACAAATGTCTCACTTAACAACATACATTGTGGGCTCGATTGTGGTTGTTAAGTCGAAGATTGCCTGTATATGAGTCTTTACAGACTGATCCAGCATGGCAATAAGAATTAAATCTCACAGGGTCAGCCCAAGAACAATGTAGACCCAGGGATGTCAAACTGCCCAGTATTGGAAAAATGAAAATTTACCATCTGAAAAGATCATAATTAAGAAAATTTTGGAATGTGCGGAAATGGACAGATTAACCTTAGAGATTAAAGCGAAAGAAGACTCAGTTTACTTTAAAACATGGGATAACTTTTACAATGGTTAGTAAAACGAACTAGTGAGAAATGATTGTGATATTTAATGGCGAATATATTTTAATAAGATGAAGGATATGTATTGATTAACTGATATTGTTTATGATTATTGTTTCTCATATGTACTATAGCTATTTACTATTATTACTATTATTGTTTCTCATATATACTATAACTATTTACTATTATTACTGCTATTGAACGTATGTACCCGGACAATAGTCTGTTTGCTAAAGCTTGAAAATGTTAATGGGGGTAACCGCATTGTTGTTCCTATTCCTGTTCCAACCCCTATCCCGAACCCTAATTCCCATACTGATCCCATCCCCTCCCCAACTTTATAAAATTCAATAAAACTTTATATTAAAAAAACCTGCTGTCCTGCGGCCGGGTGCGTCATACTGAAACCGCACCCACCCCTTTGCCGGCAATGAAAAAAAAAACACAATACGTCGTGACACATCACGTGACATTATGAGTTTGACACCCCTGATGTAGACTAATCCAGCCAGAGTTCAGTTCTTTCTATGCTTATATCCAATAAACAGAATCTTGCCAGACTAAACCAATACTATTCTCACCCTAATGGATATACCCTGAGGCAGTGATGGCGAATCTTTTAGAGACCAAGTGCCCAAAAACTGCCCCTGCTCCCCGCTCTACCTCCCTGCCTGCCCCCGCTCTGCCCCCCATCCCCTGCCCCACCTGCCCACAGGACCACTCACTGCCTCCAGGGCCCGCCACAGATCGCCCAGGCAGCCCAGCAGCGCTATGGCAGCCACACCCTCTGCCCGCGTCCTACAGCATCAACTGCATGACGGGGTGTGAGGGCAGAGTCTTGTCTACGCTGCCTGGCTGCCATGTTCTTGGCTGCGCTGCTCCATGTGGGCCACGCTCGGGAGTGACTCTCCTTCAGGGGGGCTGCTGGAGAAAAGGGGGTCATGGGGGGAGCCAAGCCTGGGGCAACGGCCCGTGTGCCTACAGAGAGGGCTCTGAGTGCCGTCTCTGGCACCCATGCCATAGGTTCGCCACCACTGCCCTGAGGGATCCTGATTCTGTTCCAATCCAGCTCCAGGTTATGCTACTACTTGTCCTGCCCTCCTCCTTTGAATGTCTCCCCCCCCCTTCCTGGGAAACTACCATTTCACTACAGTCCATCACACCTCTGCAGGCCTCCTCACTCACCTGATTATACAACATGTAAGCTGACTCTGATTATCAACCAAGGATTCTTAAAATTGATCAAGGGTAATACAAACTGACAGATTCGGCTTACACTGAGAGGTTCTCGCGGTGGCTTGTTAGGATGAGAACAACGTGGATTATCCCTCCAAGCAAACTGGGCAGGCCAAAAGTGTAATGAACTCCACAAGTATCATGGATTTTGAGTGCTGGATCCAAACGTTCCTGAGTTTGATAGTAAGAGGAATGTAGAAAAGGCAAACACACAATAAGGTTTTTGTACTAGAAGTTACAACCATCAGTGTTTATGTGCAAACATATCGCCTATCCTCTTATTAATTTTTAACAGTCCCAAAGTAGGGCTTTAAACGGAACTGCCTGCATGCCTCTTTCCACAGAAATGTGGAATGCAGAGGCCTTGGCCACATGGACCGTGCGAGCCTCTTCATAACTATGGAGAAGACTAGCACATATCCAGGACATATTCAAGAAATTTTCCTCAAGAAACCTGGAATTACAAAGCATCCCAGTTGCTTGTTCCATGACCAGCAATGAAAAGGTATAAAACGGGGAAAGTTACCTGTAAACAGGCTGTGCCAAGGACGGAAACTGTGCCTGCTGCCAGACCCAAAACCATTGCAATCCAAGGCTGTTGGATGTCGGAAGCGGAGAAACCAAGAGCAATCCCACCTGCCAGTGTAGCATTCTGGATGTGAGCCTGGACAACAACAACAAAAAAGAAAGAAATCGAAGCCTGGGCTAAGCTGGGTGGCTGCTTTCTGTTCATGAAAAACAAAATAGCCTTGGAGTCTCTTGAACCAGGATTTTATTTATGTACCATATTTTCCAGCCTATAAGAAGCATGCAAATCGGCTCCGAAGTTGGGGGTCATCTTATACGCCGAGTCGTCTTATACGCCAGAAATTGAGGTAGTTTCCGGCATATAAAACGACTTTCTAGGCATGCAAATCGGCTCCAAAGTCGGGGGTCGTCTTATACGCCGAGTTGTCCTATACGCCGGAAAATACGGTACTCTTTTGCCTTTCCAGGAGGTCCAGGGTTCTACAGATGGGTTCTCCCTTTATCTTTGTGAACCAGGCCTAAGGGAATGGGGAAGGAATGAGTGAATCATTAAGGGGGGACTTGGATGATATACTCCTGAGAAAGAGGAAAGAAACTCAAAATAATCACAACCTAATTATCTATCCTCGCTCATTTTAAAACAGGAGTCTTTAAACTTGGCCCTTTTATGACTTGTGGACTTCAACTCCCAGAATTCCTCAGCCAGGCACGCTGGCTGAGGAATTCTGAGAATTGAAGTCCACGAGTCATAAAAGGGCCATGTTTGAAGACCCCTGTTTTAAACCAATGTTTAAATTCTGGGAGTTGAAGTCCACATGTCTTAAAGTTGCTTAGGTTGAGAAACACAGTTCTAAACCAAGGTTGTGCAACTTGACCCTGTCAAGACCCACTGGGACGGCCACTTCTCGCCTCAACATTTGGAGGGCCATAGGATCAAGGATATGGCTCTTCTGATGGAAAAAGCAAGCGCGTCTATCTCACCATGCTGAGTTTTCCATTCCTGCTGGTTGCCACTGAGAGCGAAAAAGCGGCAATGGTACTTGTGGCCATCACAAAGTAGGTGTTGTAGATGGCAGTCCATTTTTTGTTTTCTTCCTCAATTAGGGCAGAATTGAAGCTGGGCCACAAGATCCAGAGAAAGAGAGTACCTGGTAAACCACAAAGAAGAAAAATGGTTAAATTCTCAAACCCAACAGAGCTCCAGTTTTCAGCAGTATGGGAGGACAGCCATTGCTAGGCTGGGGGTACCTTGCTCAATAGTAGTAACTGTGAGAGGGATCTTGGAGTCCTAATGGACAATCCCTTAAATATGAGTCAGCAGTGTGCTGCAGCTGCCGAAAAGGCCAACACAGTGCTAGGCTACATTAACAGAGGGATAGAATCAAGATCACGTGAAGTATTAATACCACTTTACAATGCCTTAGTAAGGCCACACTTGGAATACTGCATCCAGTTTTGGTCACCACAATGTAAAAAAGATGTTGAGACTCTAGAAAGAGTGCAGAGAAGAGCAACAAAGATGATTAGGGGACTGGAGGCTAAAACATATAAGGAACGGTTGCTGGAATTGGGTATGTCTAGTTTAACAAAGAGAAGGACGAGGGGGGACATGATAGCAGTATTCCAATATCTCAGGGGCTGCCATAAAGAAGAGGGAGTCAAGCTATTCTCCAAAGCACCTGAAGGCAGGACAAGAAGCAACGGATGGAAACTAATCAAGGAGAGAAGCAACCTAGAACTAAGGAGAAACTTCCTGACAGTTAGAACAATTAACCAGTGGAACAACCTGCCTCCAGAAGCAGTGAATGCTCCAACACTGGAAGTCTTTAAGAAGAGACTGGACAGCCATTTGTCTGAAATAGTGTAGGGTTTCCTGCCTAAGCAGGGGGTTGGACTAGATCAGGGCTTTTCAACCAGTGGTACGGGTACCACCTGTGGTACATTGGCACCTGGCAGGTGGTACATGAGCATCCTAGAAAAGGGGTAGCGGGGGAGGAGAATGAGATGAACCGGTGGCAGCACCGCACAAGCCTGAGCGAGAGATGGCTGGAGCTGCAGGGCTGTCAGGGCTCAGCGGAAGCGCCAGGATCAGTGCCAGGCTCCAGCTGGAACTGATCCTGCCCAGAAGAAGCGCTGATCAGCTGGAATGTTGCAGCCTCTCCAGGGTCTTGTGATTTACATTCAGATGCTTGGCAACTGATTCATATTTATGACGGTCACAGTGTCCCAGGGTCATGTGAAGTGACCAGAACCTGCTGCAAACACCCAGCAGATGGGGGGAATAAAAACCAAACACCCTCCACCCCACCCCCGCTGCCAATCCTCAACAGAAATGCTCACAACAATGAAAACCTCGGACAGGAGGAAGAGTGCGGCCGGGCGGGCAGGCAGGTGTCTTGCTTGGCTGTGGCTTGGGGGGCACTTTTTTCAGTGCTACTGTAACTTCGAACAGTCACTAAGCAAACTGTTGTAAGTCGAGGACTACCTGTACTTTATCACTTTTTTCCTTTTTTGGGAGGGGGGTCATCAAGTTTTTGACACCTTGCTAGGCGACTGGTGGTACTCGGATGTTGCCATATCCTAAAAGCGGTACAATGGGTGAAAAGGTTGAAAAGCCCTGATGTAGAACTCCTGCCACCTGCTGCTTAAGAACCCGCATATCTTGGGGTTATGATGGCAATTGAGTGCTGGGGTTGCTGTTGCTAAGTGATGGAGCCATGTGATGTTGCATTGTATGACCGCATCACTTAGTGATAGGAATCCTGCTCCCAAGGACTACTAGACTATTATAAATATCAACCAACATTTTAAATAAAGAGCATCTCCCTGGATTGTTAATTCTTATGATAGGTTTTCAAGAAGAGACATTTTCAGTTAACACGCTGATAAGTTGCATGCAAGATCCAGATGCCAGTTGGATGGGTGTTCCCTGTCCTTGACCTCCAAGAAGAAAGAAGCCTGCTTATCTCTTGAAACAGAAAGCAATGCCTCAGAGGTCTTTCTAAGATAGGCTGCTCTGAGCAGAGTCATAATCCTCCCCAGACAGAGATCTCTGCCAAAATGTAAATAAATATCAACAGACTAGGGCTCAGTTTTACAGCTCCAGCGGCATTCTCTTTCATGATCTGTCCATTTATCTGTAACTGTACTTGGACAGTATGCTAATCCTTAATTAAAGGAACCACGGACAAAGGTTTCTGCAGAGTATGCTCGGAAAAATCAAGATAACCACAACGGTATGATCAAAGCTCCACCTGTTTTTATGTGTGTGTCATACACAAGGGGGGATAAAAACAGGCAGAACTTGGATTGCACTGTTGTGGCTAGTTATCGTAACTTTTCTGACCATGCCTTGCAAACAACCTTGATGGATTTAGTAATGATCTATAGAAATAACCAACGCTCAGCCAGTTCAAAAGCTCTTTTATACTTGCTAACTTATCTCATCAGTACTGTGTGGCTGGTTCACCCAACAGCTTTTTCATCGGCCAGACTGAATGCTCTGCCTTCTACATTATTGTAAGTGCAAGGGAGAATCAACAGCGGAGCAGTGGAAGAGGAGTGACTGAAGGAATGTGGGATGTTCTGTCTGAAGAAAAGACAATTGTTTGAAGGTGTGATAACCATGTCCAGCTACTTAAAGAGAAGCTGCAAAGAAGATGGCCAACTCTTTTCTATGGCCATAGAAACTAGAAATAACAAGCAGGCTGTAAATCAAGGTTTCTCAACCTTGGCAACTTTAAAATGTTTGCACTTCAGCTCCCAGAAAGTTGAAGTCCACACAGCTTAAGGTTGTCAAGGTTAAGAAACACTGACCCAGATTTTCTTGACGGTAAGATTTGTACAAGAGTGGAAAATCTATTAACTGAGATTATCAGTTCCCCATCTTTGGAGATTTTAAGAAGTGGTTAGACCAAGGGTCTTTAAACTTGGCAACTTTAAGACTTGTGGACTTCAACTCCCAGAATTCCTCAGCCAGCCCTCAGGACTGACTGAGGAATTCTGGGAGTTGAAGTCCACAAGTCTTAAAGTTGCCAAGTTTGAAGACCCCTGTGTTAGACAGCCAGCTTTCAAAAGCCTTGGTTTTCTCACACTCTGCAGATCTCCAATTCTGCAGTTCTGTGGTGAGCAAATTTGTGCCTTTTTTCATTTTTTTAAGCGTATCTATGTGTGATCCATCTGAAATAACGAGTACAGGTAGTCCTTGAGTTACGACTACCATTGGGACCAGAACTTTCATTGTTAAGCAAGGAAAGTATTAAGTTTTACAATCTTTGCCATGTTGTTAAGCAAACAACTGCCATTGTTAAGTGAATCAGGCAGCCATTAACTGAATCCAGATTCAGCCATTAACTGAATCCAGATTCAACTTGGCTTGACAGGCGTCAGCTGGGAAAGTCAGAAATGATCACATGACCCTAGGATGCTACAATCATTGTAAATCGTGCTGGTTGCCAAGAACCCAAATTTGGATAACACGACCGTGGGGATGCTGCAGTGGCTGTAAGTGCAAGGGTTGGTCATAAGTCTTTTTTTTTCAGTGCTGTTGTAACTTTGAATGGTTGTTAAATGGATGACTGTTAAGTCGACAGCTACTTGTACACTGTCTTGCAGCATAGCCCTTCCCTTTTAATATTATTCTTATATTTCCTTTTTAAGTCTGGATGATGATGATGATGATGATGATGATGATAATAATAATAATAATAATAATAATAATAATAAAGTTGGAAGGGACCTTGAAGGTAATCAAGTCCAACCCCCTGCTCAGGCAGGTAACTCTATACCAGGGGTGTCAAACTCAATTTCATTGAGGGCCGCATCAGCATTGTGGTTGCCCTCAGGGGGGCAGGATGTGTGTGGCCAGGGTGGGTGTGGCCCACTGGGTGAGTGTGGATGGAGTGGGTGTGGCCTACTGGGTGGGCATGGCTAGCTCTACATCGTTCGCATCAAGGGTGCCTGTGGGGGCCTGGACAGGAGTGGGACAGATCTGAGGGTCTCTGGCAGAAAGGGGTGGGACCAGGGCAAGTGCCAAGGCATGGTCCACTGGAGGAGCCTCACTGCCTGCTGAAACCCCTCCGTCAGAGTACATCAAGCTGGATATGTGAAGTAGGTGAGGGCCATTTGCTGGCCACTTCCAGGCGATGGTCCATTTCTTCATTCCTCACAAAGGGTGACACCTCCCCAGCATGCACCCAGGGGGTGGCCAACGCGGCAGGGGCTGGTTCCTCGCTGTTTCCAGACGGCCTTGTGGAGCTAAGACTGAATGCGTTTCAGCATAGATGGCCACCACAAAATTGTACATTGGCTCCTGGCCGGCCTGGCCCAGGGTCAAGGCAGAGGGGGCCGTTCCCTCACTGTTTCCACATGAAACCACTTCGTGGGCCACATCTGGGCCCCGGACCTTGTGTTTGACATGTTTGCCCTATACATTTCGGACAAATGACTGATTGGAGAGTGGTCTTTAGTTTTTTGCAAACCTTTGAGTTTCCACAATCAGTCTCTTGAGGATCGAAGTGCCAAGGCACTCGCAAATCTGAAAAGTGGGCTGGAATCCAGATTGGAACCGATCTAATGTCCTCCATAAAAGCCAGGCACTGAGTCACCATTACTATCAATACACCTCTCCATGTTAGCAGCTAAATTGCCAGCGTCATGCTGAAACAAGAGACAAAAATCAAATGTCAACTGCTGAGCAATATGTCCTACGCTGGATGCCATACCGCTAGCCAAAACGGGAACCACCTAATTTGGTGGGCATGCATGAGATTCAGCCCCAGGAAGAGCACCATTTGACCTTTATCTCTTGCCCAAAGCAAACTGCTTACCCAGCACTGCAAACATGTCCGAGATGGGCCTGGATCTTTCCTTCTCAGCTTTCCGACTCAGTGAGGAGCGGTAGAGCGTCCAGGAGACCATGAAGCCAAAATAGGCCCCAAATAAGTGGGCGTGCATCATGCTGACGTGGCTCTGGATCTGTGGACAGCAAAAACAGTTCGCCATTTCCTAGGTGGTCAAGATGGAGGGTGGTTTCTACGTGCCAGCCTGCAGTGACTGAATATAAGGGAGGGAAACATCTAAAGGGGTGAATAATAAGGTGACCAACCATCCTCCTTTAGGGAGGACAGTCCTCCTTTTGTGAGTTCTGTCCTCCCTCAAAAAGTGTCCTCCTTCATGTCTTCCTTTTTGATATTTGAAGACTAATCTGCAGGGCTTTTTTTTCCCTCATAGAACGCTCAGAACGGCATTCCGGTACCTTTTTTTGATGGTGTTTTTTTTTTCAACTTTTGCATGAGCTGTGCTACTCCCACTATTGCAGTGGTTCTCAACCTTTTTAATGCCGTGACCCCCAACCGGTCGTAAGTCGAGGACTACTCAACCGGTCGTAAGTCGAGGACTACTCAACTGGTGCAGCACCGTTTGCAGAATGGGACTTTTGGCGGGCTCAGCAGGGCAGAGACGCCTGGACAATTCCTATTGGCTTTTGAAAGCCAATAGAATTAGACTCTATTCAAGAGAGTCTATTCTATTGGCTTTCAAAAGCCAATAGAATAAAAAGGAGTAGCAGAGCTAAGGAAAAGGGGGGGGGGAAATGGCGGACTGCGCTGTTTGGCGACCCCATGAAATGGTCGTTCAACCCCAAATGGGGTCCCGACCCACAGGTTGAGAACCGCTGCACTATTGGCTTTCAAAAGCCAATAGGAATTGCTGCTGAGCGCCCCAAAGCACCCGGCTGGCAAACTTTGCATATGCAAGTTGTCTGTATTATTGTTGCAATGAATAAAATGTTTCTTTTATTTACAATATTTTTTTCTTCAATTTGTTTGTGTCCTCCTTTTCATTGTAAAAAAGTTGGTCACCTTATGAATAAATCTTTCCTTTTTTGGAATTGCTGGCGTGGGCAATTTTAAATTCATCCTCTGCCCCAGTGTTTTTCAACCTCAGCCGCTTTAAGCTGTGCGGACTTCAACTCCCAAAATTCTGGCTGAGGAATTCTGGATCTGGAAGCACAGCACTAAGTAATCAACAATGGTTTCTAGCCTACCCTGGCTGGCTCCTACAACATGCTAAATCACACCCAGAGCAATTTTTCTTATTAGTGCAAGATCCCTGTGCTTATGGTTTTTATTTTTTTTGGGGGGGGGGGGAAACAAAACAAGAAAAAAGCTGACAATATGGAATATCTACAATAAAATACGACAGCGTGAAAACTCCAGCTAGCCAGCCAACTAGTCCCACCCACATCCAGGATATGCCATTTCTTCTGCCCTTTCCGAAAACATGTCAGTGTTTAAAAGTAAAGACATTTAATCTGCAATTCCACTGTTCCTGCCCTTTTATCATAAAACTGCAGTTCACAGCTTACAAATTGCAATAAGGGTAGTTCTTGACTTATAAGCAGGGGTAGTCAACCTTGACTCTTTTATGACTCGTGGACTTCAATTCCCAGAATTCCTGAGCCAGCTTAGCTTAGCTGGCTCAGGAATTCTGGGAGTTGAAGTCCACGAGTCATAAAAGAGCCAAGGTTGACTACCCCTGCTTATAACAGTTCATTTAGAGACCACTCAAAGTTACAATGGCCCTGAAAAAAGTGACTTATGACCATTTTTCAAACTTATGGCCATTGCAGCATCTCCAGGGTCACGAGATTTACATTTGGATGCTTGGCAACTGACTCACATTTATGACGGTCGCACTGTCCCAGGGTCATGTGATCCCCTTTTGAGACCTTCTGACAAGCAAAGTCAATGGGGAATCCAGATTCACTTAACAACCATGTGACTCACTTAACAACCGCAGGGATTCACTTAAAAACGTGACGAGAAAAGATGTAAAATGGGGCTTAACAAATTTCTCACTTAGCAACGTAAGTTTTGGTCTCAATGGTGGTTGTACGTTGAGGACCACCTGTATCCTGTTTACACTGTACACAAAGTCAAAATCAAGTTGCCCAATGACTGGTTAACCTAACCAGTCAATCATGATTCACATTATAAAAATAATGTGAAGTATGAACTACTAGGCAAACTAGGTTTGAATAAATTCTGCAAAAGGACAGCTTTGTACCTGCAGAATAGTCACAGCCACCCATCTATTGACGGTGAAGACGGTCACTTCCACCACATCCATCCAGACCAACTGCATGAGATTGGCTTTGCCAAGTATTGCTCCAGTTGAAATCAACACTGCGGTGATGCTCATAATAGCAGTTAAAATGCTGGTGGGAAGAAAAAAAGAGAGAGAGAGAGACAGACAGACAGACAGACAGACAGACAGAGACAGAGAGAGAGAGAGGGAGAAGGAGAAGGAAGAGAAGGAGAAGAAAGAAGAAGGAGGAGGAGGAGGAGGAGGAAGAAGAGGAGGAGGAGGAGGAGGAAGAAGAAGAAGAAGAATGTATATCAGGAACAAGTAGATTGTTTAGACATTCCTAAAGAAATACTGTAACTGAAGACCACGTTCATCCTGCGATTATGTAAGATCCCTCTTAGCCTTGCTGCCGCTGCTGCTGCATCTTTCCCCAAATTTGGAACTATTCTGTTTATTTTAGAAATGTGACTCAGTGGAACATGGGGAGAATATAGATTGGCTCAGTCTGTGATGTAATGTTTTCAAACAAAAACACAATAACATTTTTTTTGCTCAATTATGAAAGGTTAACTGAAGTTAGTATTTTTCTATACTGTATGTATAGACATTAACGTCTATAATAAGATTCCAAGTTCCTGTGAATCCATTGGTGTTTTAACTCTTTATCCTTGCCAGATACTTTTATAGAAGATAGTCAGGCTTAGCACTGTATTTGTCAAGGTCAAATTTACTAAGAGTCAGAACCAATTAATTTCCCAAGATTATTCTCTAGACCAGGGGTCTTCAAACCTGGCCCTTTTAGGACTTGTGGACTTCAACTCCCAGAATTCCTCAGCCAGGCTGAGGAATTCTGGGAGTTGAAGTCCTAAAAGGGCCAAGTTTGAAGACCCCTGCTTTAGACTGACTGGCTCCTTTGCCTCTCAGCAATTCAACCCTTGAAGGAATTCTTCAGGGATGACCACGAGGGAGGAAGTGGAGAGGTCCAAAAAAAAAAAGTCAAGATGGCAACCCTAAAAACAGGCAGGGCTTGACTGCGTGATTGTGGCCCCCATCTGGATTTTTATTTTAATCCCCCACAAACACCTTCGCTGGGAGGTTTGATCACAAGATGAATCAGAGCAAATCTCTTTCCTTACTCAAGCTATTGAAAAGAGCAAATGGCTTGGAATAAACCAAAGACATCAAATCAAGGTCCCTCCAACACTCTCCTCAGTTCTGTATCTCTGTTAAGCATTTCAGACGCAATCCTTGATCACGGTTACATTCACAGTACAGAGAAGAGCAACAAAGATGGTTAGGGGACTGGAGGCTAAAACCTATAAGGAACTGCTGTTGGAATTTGGTATGTCTAGTTTAATGAAGAGAAGGACGAGGGGGGACATGATAGCAGTGTTCCAATACCTCAGAGGCTGCCCCAAAAAAGAGGGAGTCAAGCTATTCTCCAAAATGCCTGAAGGCAGGACAAGAAGCAACGGGTGGAAACTAATCAAGAAGAGAAGAAACCTAGAACTAAGGAGAAACTTCCTGACAGTTAGAACAATTAACCAGTGGAACAACCTGCCTCCAGGAGTGGTGAATGCTCCAACACTGGAAGTTTTTAAGAAGAGACCAGACAGCCATTTGTCCGAAACGGTATAGGGTTTCCTGCCTGAGCAGGGGGTTGGACTAGATGACCTCCAAGGTTCCTTCCAACTTTATATTATTATTATTATTATTATTATTATTATTATTATTATTATTATTATTATTATCGTCATCATCATCATCATCATCTGTGATGGAATGTAATCCAGAGTCCCAGGAGGGAGGGGCTCTTTCCAGAGAGCAAAGAGACAGTGGACCTTGGGAAATCTGATTGTCAAGAAGAGGGGAAAGGCAGACCCTCCCTAGCATTTAATATTTATGCAGTTAGTTCATCTAACAAGATTTCTGTTAAACCTAAGGAACCAAGAATGACATGTGGAGTTGCTTCTGTGTAGTTTCTTTATTGTATTCACCTACTGACAGAAACCTTGCTGGCCTAAAGCAACTATCCACATAGATGAACTCTATGAGTTGCTTTTTGGTACTGTCCATGGGGTTTTCATGGCAAAGATACTGGAGTGGGTTGCCATTTCCTTCTCCAGTGGATCACTTTTTGTCAGAACTCTCTGCTATGACCTGTCCGTCTTGAGTGGCCCTACACGGCATACTCATAGCTTCATTGAGTTACGCCACGACAAGGCAGTAATCCATGAAGGGGATTACTCCTGAGAGTCCCCTGGACTGCAAGGCGATCAAACCGGTCAGTCATAGAAGAGATCAACCTCGACTGCTCTTTAGAAGGACAAATCTTGAAGTTGAAACTCAAGTACTTTGGCCACCTAAGGAGAAGGAAGGACTCACTGGAGAAGAGCCTGATGCTGGGAAAGATGGAGGACAAGAGAAGAAAGGGACGACAGAGAATGAGGTGGCTGGATGGAGTCACTGAAGCAGGAGGTGTGAGCTTAAATGGACTCCAGAAGATGGTAGAGGACAGGAAGGCCTGGAGGAACGTTGTCCATGGGGTCGCGATGGGTCAGACACGACTTCGCAACTAACAACAACAACAACGAGTTGTTAGGGAGGGTCCATCTTCACCCTCTTCCTGCCTGCCAGACATTCCAAACTCCGCTGTCTCTTTGCCCTCAGGGACAAGGCCTTTCCCCCCTGCAATTCTGGATTAACATTCTACCGCACCATTTTTATAACAGTGAGCTTTTCTGCCACCCAACCCAGGAGTGTTCACAAGATGTGGGGAGGGAAGGGGGGGGGATTAAGATGGCAGCCACAATGGTGAGATTGAAGCTCTGTCGTTTATGTACCTCACACATAAAAAAACAAACGGAGCTTCAATTGCACTGTGGTGGCCATTTTTTTACCTTTTTTTTTTTACCATTCCCTCAGCGAGAGCAGGGAAATTGCCAGAATTCCCATCTATTGGACATTAACTGGCTCAGTTGCGGAATATAGAAAACAATGTCTAAGGTTTATTCTCCAGACCTGATTCTAGAATGGTGCAAAGAACACCCTGTGGAAGTTCTCACTGAAATCCCTGGGCTTTTTTTAAAATTAGATGTTTATCATGCTTTTATAGGTACAGTAACTCAAGGTAATGAACACACACAATGCTCCTTCCTCCGATTTTCCCCTAACCCAGGGGTAGGCAACCTCGGCTCTTTTATGACTCATGGACTTCAACTCCCAGAATTCCTGAGTCAGCCATGCTGAGGGGAAAGGGAGAGGTTTCCAAGCTGAGCCATGCTGACTCAGGAATTCTGGGAGTTGAAGTCCACGAATCATAAAAGAGCCAAGGCTGCCTACCCCGGCCTAGGCCTAGGCCACTTTATGACTGGTGGACTTCAACTCCCAGAATTCCTGAGTCAGCCATGCTGAGGGGAAAGGGAGAGGTTTCCAAGCTGAGCCATGCTGACTCAGGAATTCTGGGAGTTGAAGTCCATGAGTCATAAAAGAGCCAAGGCTGCCTACCCCTGCCCTAACTCTATGAGGTGAGGCAGGCAGAATTCCTAGCAGAGAACCAAAGCTCTGTGACCTTTGACCTCTACCTTTGCAGATTTATCCTTATTTTCCCAGCTGAGAAGTGGAAGAGGAATCCATCCACGATCACGGCCCACTGAACTCCGAGGGCAGCAAGAAGGAGGCTGAATCCAATGCTGCTGAAGCCATATCTCTGCAGGAAGGCCAGAAAATAGGCGAAGCCAAAAATCACCATGAGGCTGACATCTTGAAATACTGTAGGGAACACGGAACGCTTGTGTCAAGATGGCATGGGCAAACCCATCTTCAGCAGACCCGGCTGTAAGCTCCCCATCATACTGAGCCTTAATGTGGTTTGTTTGGTTTCAACTCAGCTTGCTGCATAATCCCAGACAGCAATTTATTCACAAATCATGGCTTAGAGCAGGGGTGGCTGGCTCAGGAATTCTGGGAGTTGAAGTTCACGGGTCCTAAAGGGGCCATCGTTCCCCACCCCTGGCTTACAGTGATGCATCAATCCTATCACAGATTGGTGCTATCTATCAGTTGGATTTTAAACCAAAGGACACATGGACTTTCAAGTTTTGGATCTTAGGCACCCCATGTAACAGGCAGAAAAAGCCTGCCTATGCACACCTATGTTCAGGAAAGGCAAGGAACATACTGCTCTCTGTCCTACATATGTATGTACACATTTATAAATACATACACATCACTCACTCCCATATCCCTTTCTTCGTTCAAAAAAAGAAGGTTCTCTGCTGTAAGCCAGAGTGTGCTGCAACCATGATTCATGCAGTAGCCCAATTTGCATATATAGCTAAGTCTTTATAAAGCATGGTTCTCCTACTGCAATGGGAGAGTTCAAAACATTCATTAAATGTTTGCTTAACTTTGGCAACTTCCAGATACCTGAACTTTTATTTATTTAAAACATTTATGCAGCTGCCCATCTGATAACTAACTTCTTAGCAAGGAGTTGAAAAGATAATTCTGGGTGGAGAGATCCAGGCGTTTGGAAATTGCCAAGACTGGGAAATTAAATCAAAACCAGACAAACCACATCACAGCTCATCAAAGTGTGTGAACTCAGATGCAATATTGGCTTACTTCTCCTAGCACAATCATCCTATGTACCCATCAAATGGCTTTTGCTAAGTATGACTTTTATGGAAAGAGTGAAGATAAGCCTCTTTACCCAGCTGTCTTCCCCAGAAACGCTACTAACTGGTGGTGGTGCTATTACTAGTACTACTGCTACTATAGAGAATCTCCCTAGACACTTACTACTACTACTACTACTACTACTACTACTACTACTACTACTACTACTACTACTATACTACTGTTGTCTGAAATCATTATTTTATTGTAGTTAGTTCCAGATCTGGGCTGAAAGCTGCAGAAAGCCACTAGATGGCAGCAAAGCGTTAGAGGATTTGCTGCCATCTAATGACTATTGGGATATTTCCTGCCCAGCTGTAATTTAATTCAAGTTGTAGTACTACATACACACCTTATATCAGTGGTTCTCAACCTTTTTAATGCCGTGACCCCCAAGCGGTCGTAAGTCGAGGACTACTCAACTGGTGCAGCACCGTCTGCAGAATGGGACTTTTGGTGGGCTCAGCAGGGCAGAGACAGCGTGGACAATTCCTATTGGCTTTTGAAAGCCAATAGAATTAGACTCTATTCAAGAGAGTCTATTCTATTGGCTTTCAAAAGCTAATAGAATAAAAGGAAGTAGCACAGCTAAGGAAAAGGGGGGAAAAAATGGCGGACTGCGTTGTTTGGCGACCCCCGTGAAATGGTCGTTCGACCCCAAATGGGATCCCGACCCACAGGTTGAGAATCACTGCCTTATATATTTATTTCTCACAGGCCTTTCTATGGTGCTGTACTCCAAAACAGTTCCATTAGAACAAAGCAAGTTTTTCTGAGCCTGGAGGCATTGTAGCTGGCTCTCTCTTTCTAAATGGCCTTATATTAAAACCACTATCCCTCCTTTAGCAGCAATTAATTATGTCATGTTAGAAGTTTCCTAGTCTTAACTCGGGCTTTGGTGTCTTCAGTTCAGTCACAGTCAGGGAGTTGAATGTGGGACTTTTGAATGGAAAAGATCTGCCAGGGTGGTATGCATCATCTTGACACTTTTGATCACACAGCAGACGCCCTTGAGGTGCCCTGTGCTCCAGATCTATACTCTACCATGTTAACTACGAGCAAAGGAAATTGCTTTAATGCAACCAAACTGCTTGGCCCTACAAAACTCCTTTTGGGCCAAGTATTGCATTTGACTTTGAATAGCAGACATGGCAAGAACAAAAACTAGATAAGAATTAATTTAAAATAAATACAATACAATTAAAACAACACTACTTAGGCACCAGGCCAGATACCAGGAGACTGTGAGTTCTAGTATGGCCTTAGGCATGAAAGCCAGCAGGGTGACTTTGGGCCAGTTCTTCTCACTCAGCCCAGCCCAGCCCAGCCCACCTCACAAGGTTGTTCTGGAGGGGAAAAATAGCAGGGAGTATTAGATATGTCTGTCATTTTGAATGATTCATAAAAAAAATACGAAGATGGGATATAAATAAATCGCAAGTAATTTCACCCTCCATTTTAAAAAGTAGAATCTGATAGCAATTTGGCAAAAGGCTGGGGAGGGGACAAATCTGAGGTTTTGGGGAGCAGAGCCTACCCTCAAATTTGGACCATGCATCTCTAGATTGTGCCAAAGACTCTTCAGGACCTCAACCATGCATCTCCCTCAATTTTACTCAAAGATGAAAGAGATTTGCACCATATCTTTAACTGTAACCTTTCCTCCCAACTGGGGCTGTGCCCAATTAACAGTGCTGAATTCCTCACAGCTCAGAAGCTGCAAGAGTCAGCCCAAGGGGCTGGGGGAGGGGGGGAGGGGAGGGATTCCCCTGAGATATCAGCCTTTACTTAACCTTCCATTGCCACAGAAGACGGTCTTCAACCCCAACAGGAAGCAGTCTTACCTGGATAGTCTCTTGTAAGGTTTTGACTCTGCTCGTAAGAAACAAAGAAGCCAAATACAAGGATTAAAGCAGCTTCCAAAAGAAGAATGAGCACAGGGAGACGAATCCGGAGATTAGGAGGATACTGGGAAGACATCGTGGCTTAAGAAGAAGGCAACAAACCAAGGAGCAGGCAAGAGTTAATACAGTCCCTTCGGTTCAAACATTCCACAAGTCTCGGCTGGAAAAAAAAGAAAAGAGAAAGCTGTGAAGGTGATAAGAGTTCTTCTTAGAAGGAATTAGCAAAGCACATAACTCTTATCAAAGACAGGCCAGGGGACCGCCTGACCTGTACTGACAGATGTTTGATTAGTATTCAGCAAGCTGATGGTATACAATCATCGGAATTGCACCAAAATGTGTACTATTGAAAACCTCCCAGAAATAGACACTTATATATTCTCATCAACTTTGTGAGCCTGACATACGTGCACTTATTTGAACTCAGGAGATAAGTACAATGATAATGTAAATTGCATGTTCCTAGCTAATTCCTCCCCAGAGCAAAAGCAAAGTTCCAAAATTGATGTGCATTTAAGCAGTTCTCACTAAACCAAGAAGAACTCAGCAAATGCTCTGGTTAATTTTCTTTTTGCAACCTATATACAAGCAGTCCTTGACTTACAACTGTTCATTCAGTGACTGTTCAAAGTTACAACAGCACTGAAAAAGGTTGACTTATGACCATTTTTCACACTTACAACCACTGCAAGATCCCCAGGGTCACGTGATCAAAATTCAGATGCTTGGCAACTGGATCATATTTATGACCGTTGCAGAGCCATGGGGTCACGTGATCCCCTTTCGCGACCGTCTGACAAGCAAAGTCAATGGGGAAGCCAGATTCACTTAACAACCAGGTTACTAACTTATCAACTGCGGTGATTCACTTAACTGAGGCAAGGTGGTGAAATGGGGCAAAACTCACTTGACAAATGTTTTGCTTAGCAACAAATTTTGAGCTCAGTTGTGGTCATACGTTGAGGACTACCTGTACAGTATATGCAAAGTGTATGAGCCATTCATTACAAATAACGTATTATGGACTTGCATAAATTCTGGTAGTCATTTAGTGACCAACTACCATTGGCAAGTTTGTGATTAAGTAAATAAGTCATTATACAAAACCACAACGGTGTTTACAATGTTATTTTAGCTTTACTTTGCTTTACAGACTTGCAAAGGTGTAAATGTGAAGAAGATTGGTCCCAAGGTTACTTTTTTGTCAACATCTGCAAATGATCGCTAAACAAGGACTACCTGTAGTGCATTATTCAACTTCAGGGGCCACTCTCCAGATTCTGTCCTTCTCTTCATGAGCCTCTAGATCAGTGGTTCTCAACCTTTCTAATGCCGCGACCCCATAATACAGTTCCCCATGTTGTGGTGACCCCCAACCACTTATATATCACTGGGTGCCAGGGGCGTGGCCAAAGAAAAGGGGAAAAAATGGTGGACAGCCTTGTTTGGCGACCCCCGTGAAATGGTCGTTCAACCCCAAATGGGGTCCCGACCCACAGGTTGAGAACCACTGCTCTAGATAGAACAGGGATAGGCAACTTTGGCTCTTTTATGACTCGTGGACTTCAACTCCCAGAATTCCTGAGCCAGCAGGGCTGGCTCAGATTCTGGGAGTTGAAGTCCACGAGTCATAAAAGAGCCAAAGTTGCGGACCCCTGCTCTAGAATATGACATGGAATCATCACTGCTATGCTTGGCTCTTGAAGGAGCCTCCTTTACAGCTTTCAAGCAGTCTAAAAGCTAGTGGCAATGGCAGCACTAGCAAAGGAAGAAAACCATGAGATGAAAAAACATCATTGCAGGAAATTATCTTCCTTGGAGCAGACACCTTTATATTATTGACTATAAGTTTTTTCCATACATAAGTTTCTGCAAGTAAATGCTTTCAGTGACGATAATCAACTTACATCTGTTACGTCAACACATATGGTTTTTCCTCAAAATACAAGGTGTTTCCTCATAGATTACATTCACATTTTACTCTTTCATGGAGTAAGCTCAGAGTAATATTGTCTCCATGCTTACTTGTAGCTTTTTGTTGCAGCATCAGGGGAAAGCCTTATGTCCTTTTCTGCATGGGCAACCAGTCGGTGGAGCTCCATGCCACAGTAGCTTAGGTTTCTTCTTTTGAGATCCTTCATTCTCCTACAATCCCTTTCTATGTTGGCTTATTGGACTGTTTCTGCAGTATATTTCTTAAGCCCCTCTCAACATGTCCGTTTGCTAGTGAAGAGAGGGGTGTATTTATTTTGCTGTAAATGCAAAAAATGCCTTGCTTTTTCATTGCCTGTGTATTTTTCTTAGCTCCTCCCAATCCTATAAATGATTGATTCAGAAATAAACCCCACAGATACTTTTTTTTCAGGAGTAAACCTCTGAGTAACACTTAAATATGAATACAGCCAAGAGAAATCCTTCTCTTGAACGTGATCCAACTTAGTTCCCAATAAAACTGTTCAGGACGGGGGAAGATAAATAGGTATTTTGAAAAAGGAACACACTTATGCAGACTCCGAAGGAATGGGAAAATTTGAGAAGTAGGCGGGGGGGGGGAAACCACCGCAAAGCTTCTCCAGTTCGTATAGATACGCAGCCACCTTAACAAAAGGCTACAGAGGGGGAAATCCCACCCTGATTGGCCAAGACTCAATTTCCCAGGATACTTTGCACGGCTATGACGCCCAGTCCCACCTAGTCCAAAACTCTATTGGTCGCCTTCAGTGCCCTTTCTGTCGAGCACCATCTTCATTGGCTAAACGTATCATCCCTTTTGTAAGTGGGCGGAACCGTCCGCGATCCTGTTTTAGAAAGTAGCGGGAGCATTATTCTTTGCCTTGTCTGATTTTCGGGTCACGATTGACGGGAGGAGTTTATTGGCCAGCATTTACGCCAATTAATCGTAGAGGGCCGTACCCTAATCCCATACCAAAAGATGAGATCGAAGGGGGGAAAAAAACCACCTTTCTTTCTCTCCCATTAGGAAATATTGAGATTGCCCCGCCCCTCCACTCTAACTCCTCCCCAGGATTGGACAGGTCCCTCTTCCATCTTCAATCCTTTCACGGACCTTCAGGACGGTGGTTCGCGCGACTGGGCGGTCCTTGTCATCTTAAGAAGGGGCGGTCGGTCGCTGCTGCTGCTCCACTCATTGGCCGGCACGCCCGCCTCTCTTAGCCCTCGCCCCGCGCTGATTGATTCCTTCCCCGCATCGCCCTTATGTTTGGCCTGCCGCCGATTGGCCTCGGCTTGGAAGGAGGCGGGGCGAGGCGTGGAGCCTGCGCGCGGGGCCGCGGCGGCGGGGAGGGACGGATCTGAAATTATTTTTTATTTCTTTGTTTCCGAGAGGGGAGAAAGAGGGGAGGGAGGAAGGGGCGGGGAGGCACAGAGCCGGAGCACCAAACGGGAGCGGGAGTCTTTCCGGGCCTCGGCGCGGAGCTTCGGCGGGCCGGCGCGCTCGGATGTTGTCGCCGTGACCCGGGCGGGGCAGGAGGAGCAGCCGCCGCCGCCAGCAGGCCAGCTTGGGACTCGCCGAGCCGGGCGGGAGGATGAAGCGCCGGAGCGCCGACTGCAGCAAACTCCGGCGGCCGCTGAAGCGGAACCGCATCACGGAGGGCATCTACGGCAGGTAGGGCCGCACCTGGCTTGCCCGCCCCGGCCTGTCAGCGGCGTCCAGGAGCCGCCCGGTCCCGGCCGACGCGTTCCCCTCAGGCGGGCTGGACCCGGCCGCTGCCCCCGGGCCTGCCGCCGCCGCCCCCCTCCTCCTCCTCAGCTGCCCTCGGGCCCGCGCGGCTCCCCTCAGACCCGGCCGGAGCCTTTCCAGAGCCCCGGCGGCTGCCTGGATGGCGCGCCCGGAGCCGCCTCCCCGACCCGCCGGGCTTCCCTTCCCGGCCGGCGCCTTCAGAAGCGGCGGGGCGCCCTTCCCATCAACCCCAGCCGACCCGGAGGATCGTTTCGGCGGCCTCCATGCCCTCCCGCAGCTCTGCGAGCCTCCTGATAAGAGCGGGAGGGAAGCATGGGAGTTGTGATGATAAGAGCGGGAGGGAAGCATGGGAGTTGTGATGATAAGAGCGGGAGGGAAGCATGGGAGTTGTGATGATAAGAGCGGGAGGGAAGCATGGGAGTTGTGATGATAAGAGCGGGAGGGAAGCATGGGAGTTGTGATGATAAGAGCGGGAGGGAAGCATGGGAGTTGTGATGATAAGAGCGGGAGGGAAGCATGGGAGTTGTGATGATAAGAGCGGGAGGGAAGCATGGGAGTTGTGATGATAAGAGCGGGAGGGAAGCATGGGAGTTATGATGCAGGCTGCTTGCGGGGTACCTTTCCCCACTAACTTCCCCCCCCCACGCCGAAGCTCTGCCCGGCTTCTGGAGGGGGTCTTGTGGCCCTGAGGATGAGGAGGGGGCCTGCCTCCTCTCAGTTTCCTTTCCCAACTCAGGACTGCAGCTGGCCTGATCTGCGGGATGCTGGCTTGGTGGGATTGGTTTTGTAGTCCTCTGCCCCTGGAGAGCACCAGGTTGGGGGGAGAATAGTTGGTCTACTAGAGGGACTACTAAGAGGTTTGTGACCCACCTTGGATAAGGTAGTGAAGTAGCCTTAAGTCAGTTAAGTCCCTTTGGTACCTGATTCAGATTTTAAGCCTGTTTTGGAGGAGCTTCTCTCTCACTTAACTTAAGCCACAATTCTGAGAGCAGCTTTTTCGCTTTTTTCTTCTTCAGTTTTTTAGCTTTTCTCCAAGGAACAGTGTGGTCTGTGGACCGAATTGCCTTTCCTGAAGCCTCCCATGTATGTGCACTTGGCCGGTCTGCCCTTCAAGCTTGGACACCTGCACCCAATGGAAGTCTTGGGCATGTTAAATTTTAAATTTACTGAGGAAGAGGGAGACTAGGATAGCCTCCTTTTAGCCATTTGTCAGTAAATTTAAAGTTTAACACAAAAACATAGTTAGTCACAAAATGCGACTGCCTGCGAAGGCTCCTAGATTGGGGCTGAAAGGTGAACGGAGCTCCGTCCCATGTTTGGGTAGACCAGGCTGCCCTGATAGATGGGAAAACATTTTATTCTCCAGAGTCTACTGCTTACCGTGGTTCTTTATTCTCCAGTGTTTAGGTGTGTACCTAAAATGAGGGCCAACCACAGGAATGACCTTACACAGGGTCTTGCAGAAGTTCGCACTGTTAGTGATTCTCAACCTTGGCAAGGTGTGTAGATTTAAACTCCCCAAATTTCCCAGCCAAGATGGCTGGGGATTTCTGAGAGTTGAAGTGAACCCAGCTTAAAGTTGCCAAAGTTGAGAGACACTAAAGGTGTGAACTTCTGCAAGACTCTGTGTGAGGTCATTCCTGTGGTTGGTCCTCATTTTAGGTACACCACACCTACACCAGGAATCTTGCCCTGAGAGTCTGTCTTAAGCCTCATCAGATTGTTCTGACAATCTCAAATCTATGTTGTAAGCTTTCTGTTTTGTAAGCTGCCCAGAGTCATTGGATATGAAATGGGCAGCAAATAAATTTTATAAATAAATAAACTCTACCAATCCAACAATTAGAAGCCATCCATAGTTACCCCCTCATAGAGAACATCTTCTAGAATCCACCATGTTACTTTTAGATTCTTCTCCACTCTTCCATTGGGCAATCTTTTGGGGGATTATTTTGATTTCCTGCTCATTTATTCATAACATCATCCCGTGAAACAGCCACTTTTTGAAAGGACAAACGAGAAATAGATAACTTTGGCCAGCACTCTTGGCTCCCATTGGCTGGAAATTGTGGCTGCTCAAGTCCTCAAATCCAGAGGACACCCATTTTCTTGCTTCTGCACTACGTTGACAGAGTTTTCTGTAGGAAACTACTGATTCTGTAGTTTTTATGCTACCTTTGTACTTGGTGTCCTACAGTGATAACTCTTTTCTACAGATGTAGAGGTCTCTTCCTATAGCCCTTCTCTACGTTAATGAACCTAGTCTCGCCTTTTCGTACTTCCTCATTGTGCTTTGCCAAGCTACATCAGTGCCCTCATGCCATTAGTGTTCCTTGTCAATGAGCCTTGGTAATGATTCAACTCATTTATTATGATTTGCTTTTTACTATTTCCTCAGAAATTACATTTCCCAGTCCTTCTCTGCAACAGTTTTACACATCTTATGTTTTTCTCCAGACTTAGTTTTCTTGTGTTTGCTTTCCTACCCCTTTACTATTTGCCACAATCCCCTTACCCAAAGAACTTGTTTTGGCTTTATGGTTTTAAATGATGGCCTTTCCCTTTTTGTAACTATTGTAACCTTTCTGAAGACTTTAAAGCAGGGGTTCCCAACCGGGGGTGCGAGATGATATTCCAGGGGGTGCGAAAACTTGGCTTTTCAAAATTATAGTGTATATGCATAATTTGTCGCCGTTATTTTGAAGTTTTTTAAGTTCAAGAGACTATATCAAAAGCGTTCTAGGGGTGTGGGGTATAGAAAAGGTTGGGAGCCGCTGTTTTATAGGCTTCCTTCCCAAGTTGGGGAATCACAGTTGGTTTTTCAATTTTCCATCTCTCTTTTTTCTGCATTTTTTTTTGCACTATATCAGAAATGGTTTGTATTCTTTGGTGAGCAAGATATTAAAGAATTGGAATTTTCTATGGTGATTTAGTTTTTGCACGTTATATGCAGTAGTGTTTTTCAGTAATAATCATTAGCTAAACACAATGCTTTACTTTATTCACCTCTTCCAACCATGAATTTCAATAGTTTCTCAGTGTAAGGTACTGAACAATTTGCAGAAAATTCTATATTGCTGCCAAGTTATATAACTACAAAGGGCCTAATAGATACAAAGTTTGGCAGACAAATTATACTTGTCATTGGCTAAGTCTGAGGAGTTATGTTTTCACAATAACTGGGAAAGGGAGAGAGATAACAATATCAATTCATACCCACTGCTACATGAGTTTTGTTTTCAGAGAAGTCAGATTAATAACCGTCATAAAAAATAACATATAATGAGACCCATCTATGAAAATCTATATTCCCCCCCCAAAGGAAATTTGCCCACTTGAATTGAAGCTCTGTTATGTAATACTGCATAGCTAACTGCTTAAGAACAGCAGAATGTTACTTTCCAGGCTTATATATATATATATATATTTTCTGAGGTTTTCGCGGGTGTTTGTATGTAGGTCT